ACAGCGCTCTAGTTGGTGCATGGATCTCTGGTTTTGGCTGGTGTTCATTATGATCGTGGCGCCGACCGTTCCAGGTTCCGGTACAGGCTTATCGCAAGTTTCCATGGCTGATGTCGTAACGCTTTGCTCCAGCTGCAGGGACTGTGGGTGTTAACTATGGCCGCTTAGCCTCAAAGCTTCCTTCGCCTGGGGAGGTTGTCGAGCTTGTTCGATCTCTCGGGGTGACAAAAGTTAGGATCTACGACACTGATGCGACCGTTTTGCAGGCCTTCGCCAACACAAGCATCGAACTGACAGTCTCGGTTCCTAACAACGATATACCGGCTCTTGCTACAAACATCAGCACGGCCCAGAACTGGGTGAACAGCTCCATATTATTGTTTTATCCGCAGACGAAGGTCACAACTATCTTGGTTGGCTACGAGGTGTTAACGGCTGGACAGCATATTATGCCATATCTCCTTACTGCTATGGAGAACATACATTCGGCTCTTGCTACTCTAAAAATCGACTCACAGGTGAAGGTCTCTACTACTCACTCGCTAAACATTCTCAACATGACTTCTCCGCCGTCGCTATGCTCCTTCGACCATGAAGCAATCGTCAGACCTTTGTTACAGTTTCTATCGAAAACGGGTGCTCCCTTTATGGTTAACATTTACACTTTCTCGACGTTTCAGCAGGACAAGGGTCGGAACTTTCCCGAGTCATTTGCGTTGCTGAAACCCACTGGCTTCGTGGTTGTCGATCCCATTTCCAGGCTACGGTACGAGAATTTGTTCTTGGCTCAGCTGGACGCGGTTTACTCGGCAATTGATAATTTCGGTTTCAGTGACATACAGGTGACTGACTCCTTACGGTTTGCAAATCGTCTAAACTTGTGACAGTCCTTGTTCCAGGTGGCTGTCTCCGAGACTGGGTGGCCGTTCACTGGAAAAAGTGGAGCAAGCGTTCGCAAGTCAAGGTCTTACAATCAACACGTTGCAAGGCTTTGTCTGTCGGGTGCGGGGACCCCTCTGGTCCGTGACAGACCGATCGAAGTGTTTATCTACTCGCTGTTCAACGAGGATTTGCAGCCGTCATCACTGGGTACTTTCGGGCTTTACTTCACCAACAAGTCGAGGGTGTTTGACTTCGATACTCGCACCTTGCAGCCCTCGAAGTAAGTTCTATGATCAAATTTCTTTTTTAGGCGTCTTCTCTGTTGAATGAAGACTCGAGGCTTTTATTGTCAGCTGAAAAACGTCATAGTGACTTCGAGAATGCTAAATTGTCTCGGTTGGTTTGCTTCATGCCATCGATCTGTCAGTGACTCATACGCGGAATGTCTGCGTGTTTCCTTGACAAGGATCATCATCCAAATGCGACTTAAACTCCGGCATAGGCGGTTCGAGGCACATATATCGATAAGCTCTGGCATATCTTTCAGTCGAACAAGCAATGGCCTCCGGATCACCCATCATCAGCTTTTTCCTGCTATCACTGGCTCTCGTGGCAAACGCAGCTGATCCAGATCCAGTTCTCGACTTCTGCGTCGCCAACAACAGCAGCAGCGGCTCCTCGGGATCATGCAGAAATCCTTCGGCAGTCACCGGCCAGGACTTCGTGTCCGAGATCCTCAGGAACATGAACAACACGCAGGGTCCAAACACCTTCAACGCAACTCTGGCGTCAGTTTCAACGTTTCCGGGCCTCAACACGATGGGTCTCTCGATCGCGAGGGTCGACTTTGGCGTCGGGGGTGTGGTTCCGACTCACGTCCATCCCAGAGCATCGGAGCTCGTCTACGTCGCGGAGGGGACAATCTCGGCCGGATTCGTGGACACCAACAACGTTTTGTTTGCTCGGACGCTCCAGAGAGGTGACTTGATCATCATTCCCAGGGGTCTGCTCCACTACCTGTACAACGTTGGCAGTGAGCCTGCTATTGCGTTTGTGGTGTATAACAGCCAGGAGGCTGGACTCCAGCTGCTGGGGCCGAGCTTGTTTGGATCAGAGATCCCCACTCCAGTTCTTGCGTCGTCGCTGTCTCTCAATGAGAGCACCATCGCTGCCTTGCGAGGAATCTATGCTCCTTCCTCTTGAATTTGTTCGTAAACATGCGTTGAGTAAAGATTCGCTGCTGCATTTGTGCTTTAAGTTTCTTTGTTTAAACTCTTAAATTGCACTAGATTTTCATTGATTCGTTTTATCTATAAATAACACGGCACATACGTATGGTCCATATGATCGTTTGTTTTCAATTGAGTACTATTGCACAATCTGTGTTCCTTCCGTTTGAACGAAAGCGGAGATTGCAGAAAACATCGGCTGGGTACGGTGCGTTCTTGTGAGACCTATGAATTACAAAGTCCACCAAAATGGTTAGACTTCCAGGAAATCCCTCTAGGGGGTTCCAACGTTCATATGTTGTGCTCCAGATCCAAGGCGCGCCAACAAAGCCACCCGAAACTGCTATTCAAACTTCAAGGAATCTCAAGCGATGCCGTCTGGCTGTGCAAATGGATATCCTAGATCGGGTTACCAGCAGTGGTCCTAGTGACAAGGCCCTTGCTTGGCAAGCTTCTGTCAGTGCTCCAGCACCACGCGATTCTAGCAGCGCTAGGCCAAAATTTATGCAATCCGTGGCCTGGTACAAGCATGCATTTGTCACCAATCCAGTGAATGATTATGACAATGCAGAGAATGCTTTTTGACTACTGGTGCTATGAAATGGAGGCTTCTAGAAATTCTTTGTTGGCTTATGATTAATTTTAAGTACTATTTGTAATCCTAACCTTAACCATTTAAGAATCTATTGCATTCTGTTTATTTATCACTCCACATACTACTTTTTCTCTTTGATGGATTTCTATTCTTTTCTTGATTTTTAGGTTTACAAAGTATCATCACTACTTTATAAGCTTTAAATATTGTTGTCTTTGATTGAACTATGATTTCTCTTAACTTCAAAGTCCAATGTGTAATTATGGTGAATTAATTAATGGTTTAGAGTAGCTTGATTTATAAATCTTTCTTACTTTTTAATATATCAAACATAGGATAAATTATATGATCGATATCATCTAATAATTAGCAGTCTTCCATAGAGAAAACACCAAATGACAATTAGAAAATGAAGTTAGATGATGCTAATAAAATACTACATTTTTATTTTTCTTCTTGCTCTTTCAGTATAACTATTAGTTACACTATGTTTAAGTACATTACACTATTATAAATTTATTATATTTTTAAAAAATTTATTTTACTATTTATGCAAGAAAACCATTTTTAAAATATGTATAAATAAACTTTTTAAACTTTATATTAGCACACAGTTACATTAAAATGTTATTTGTTTGCCTAGGTTGTTGCCTTTAAAAAGGAAACAAAAGATTTTTTCATAATACAATAAGTAAATTAATTTTAAATAAAATTAAAAAAATTTAATAAAATTTTAATTCATAATGAAATAATTTAATAGTATTATATTTTATATGCTCAAAGAAACCTTCAAATGACCAACTATTCCATCTATAATCACTTTTTGTTATATTTTTTGCTGGACCTTGAAAAATTAAAATTTGATATGCCTCATCATTTATATAAAATGTTATATTTTTTATAATGCTGTTATCTCTTTAAATAATAAATATATTTTAAATATGCAACCCTAAAACCTAAACCCTAAACCTTTCTATATTTACTAACATTCATAAGATCTTTACTTAAACAAATATCAAAGAAAAATCATTAAAAAATATTAAAATTAAAATATATACACCATACTATTAACACTATTAACTAGTTTTCTATAAAAATAATATAAATTTAAGAAATAAACTACTTACACAAAATGAAACTATGGATAGATTAAAAATGAAAAATGTTATCGTGTGAGCTATTGTTGCTAGCTCAAAGGCTATTAGCAACTTAGCATGTGAGGTTTAACTATGCCGAGAATATTTTAAAGATGTTCTTTTTGTCTGAAAACTTAAATCACGTGAGACATTGGTCTCATACCGAGACTCGAACTTGGGCTCTTGTCTTTTTATCTCCAGGGAATCGAACTAGGTCCGATGTAGTGGTTCTTCCCCCCCAATAAAATGGAGATGCTTCCACGCGTTTCCCCTTGTAATCTTAGTGGTCTCCTACCTCATTTCTGATATAGCACGTCTGCTTTGCCATGCCCTCAGCCGTTGCTGCGTCACTGTTTAGCATCCTAGCTGCCCGAATCAATGCTGCCCAGTACTGTTGCATGGACTCGCCTCTCTTGAATTTGTGATCCCTCATCGTGAGGAAGGCACGTTCAGCAGGCTGTCCAAGCTGGAAGAGGCAGCGGCCACGTTGAATTGCCTCCTCCCAAGATTCCTCTTCAACTCCACTCCGATGGGCCATAAAAAGTCGTTGTGCTTCCCCTTCCAGAGCCATGCATAATCTCTCTCCCTGCCACTTTGTTGTTGTGTGCTGCACACTTGAAAATCTCCAGATAGAGCTCAAAGTCTTCTCCCATTTTGTATATAGGATACTTGACGTGAGCCAATGACGAAACTTCTGGGCAGAAAAGCTCCTTTCTCGTTGTAGCATTTCCCGCTACTACTAATCGCCATGTGACCTGGGGGTCCTTCAAGAGTGCAACGTCAGCATTCTCCAGCAGCCTCTTAGTGGTTGCCTCCACTCTTGGTTCCTTAGACAGCCGGTCAGACGCATCCTCCCTTTCCCTGAGCGGAGTGGAGCATTCGAGTCCCCTTCGTGGCCAGATGCCAATCCTCGTGTCAGCGGAGATGCCATGCTTTCAGTTCATGCCAGACGAGAAAGGCGCCATGGCCCAAGCACGTCACTAGCACCAAGGGTAGATCACCAAGATCCCCCCACCACTGGCCGCCTCGGCTCAGCTCATTCCTCATCACTTGATCCCCCCACCACTGGCCTCCTCGGCTCAGCTCATTTCTCAGCCCTGGTTGGATGTATGGTGGCTCCAACTTTTGGATGCCATGCCTTGTGACCAAACCTCTTGGTCACACTGGCTGTCCTAGCCAGGAAAGTCCTTTTGGCCATGCGTGTCCTCCACACAAGCATGTTACTGCGCAAGCCCTCATGCTCAAAATTTTAGTCATGCCAGAAATGGAATTGAAAAAGGAAAATTCATATAGACCCAGCCCATATTTGATGAGGTGCCCCTCACCTCCACCATATGGGCGTACGAGGCTTACTAGAGTCCACACTAGGTCAAAGCCCTTACTGTGCTCAGATCTTGATCACCCTTGCTTGTCACACCATTCCCAAGCCAATCCTCCTTCCAACCCTAGCTCCCACCATGTCCTTTATCGCTGCCCTGCTGCATCCCAAGAAGTCCGCTGCTGATCTGCCGCCCGATCCTCTCCCTGCCACGTCAGATCTCCTTGCTGAGTCATCCCTCCACGTGTTTTGCCTCACTTTGTTATACGGGCTCGTTATTGGCCGCTACACCGATGCTAGGGTTCTAACGTTCATGTGTTGGGCTCTCGACGAACAATGCCGAGCGTCCCGTCCATTGCTGAGGAGACCGTCTGCGAGATCAATCGCGATTTCCTCACTCGCGCCCAGCAGCAGCAGCCGCAGCAGCAGGGCGGCGATGTTTCATCCAAGGCGCATGAGCAGTACAACAAGGTCCTCAACAGAGTCTTCCCCAAGCTGCTGTTCAAGGTTGGAACGATCCCGATCGCCGACGACAATGGCAGCAATGGGATTGCTGCGCAGATGGATATTTCGGCGCCAGGAGGATCTCTCGAGGGGGAGGAAGAGGATCTGGTTAGGGCGACTGCAGCAGCGGTGGAAGAAACCCTAGACGAGGCCCTTGGCGAGCCTCTGTCGGCGCTCCAGCGCCTCGGATCTCTCTTCTACAGGGGCGAGAAGCGCGATTCCAGCAGCGCCAGGCCGAAATTTCTCCAGTCCATGGCCTGGCACAAGCACAAGCTCCTCCTCGCATTCGTCGCCAATCCAGCGCACGTCCTAGTGGTGGATTACGACGACGCCGACGCCAAGAATCCCTTTCTTCTTGGCCATGAAACCCAGCAGCGCGGCGTGGAAGCGATCGAGTGGAGACCAAACTCGGGCTCGATTCTGGCCGTTGGATGCCGCGGTGGAGTTTGCCTGTGGACGGCATCCGGTGCCACGCCACCTTTGAGGACCGGGGCTGTGGTGCCTCTCGTCTCAGCGGCTACGAAATGGAGCCTGGTGGATTTTCTGCGCTGGGGGATCGATATGCCCGTCTCGGCTCTCTCGTGGAGCCCCTGTGGAAGGCTCTTGGCGTGTGGATCGAGCGAGACGCCGACTTTCGCAGTGTGGGACGTCTCTCTCGGGGAGAGCACGCCTCTGCGACGAGGAATGGCCGGCGTCCAGTTCATGAAGTGGTCGCCGCTGGGGGACTACTTGCTCACGGCCAAAGTTGACGCGTCGTTTCATCTCTGGGAGACCATGACTTGGACGTCCGAGCCGTGGGCCTCGGCTGGTGGAGCTCTCGTGGGCGCGGCGTGGAGTCCCGATGGCCGGATGATCATGGGTGCTTTTGATCAGAGCAGCACGCTCGGGACTTTACACTTTGCTGGGAAGCCTCCGTCGCTGGAGGTGCATTTGCTGCCTTTGGGACTCTCGGAGATAGAAGCGATTTGTGGACCCGGAGGAAGCATTGAGAGGATGGCTTGGGATGGAACAGGGGAAAGGTTGGCGGTGTCGTATACAGGTGGTGATGCTGTATACTCTGGTTTGATCGCCATCTACGACACGAGGAGAACACCGATCATATCAGCCTCGTTGCTGGGATTTGTGAGAGGTCCAGGCGCTGGTGCGAAGCCTCTGGCTTTCGCGTTTCATGATAAGCTCCGGCAGGGAGCTTTACTGGGCGTTTGCTGGAGCACGGGCTTCATCTGCGTCTATCCTATGCTCTTCAGGACGGGCATGTAGAGTCGTATATCATCGAGCGAAGATATGAAGGGAGGTGAGCATTCGTTTTTACTGTTTGCATTCGAAACATTTTTGAAATGAGCATTTTTCAGTCCTCGTCATTCTCGTCTCCGGTTTGCCGTGCCTGGTGCTTGTCTAACTGTTCCTGCAGATTAGCAATCGTGTCTACCAGCTTTGCATACTCCTCATGAGTATGTTTTCTGGCCGTTTCCTTGATTTTCTCCCAGATAGCTTCGTCGTAAGGGACTTCTTTTGCAGCTATCTCCGTTCGCAGCAGGGTCACGGCTCCCTGAAGATCTTCCAGCTGCTGCTGTAAGGCCATTTGTTCCCGTTGAGATTGCTGATTCTGTTTGTTTGCTTCTGCAGCCTCGGCTCGAGCCCTTCGCAGTAACTCGTTCTTCTCTGTCAACTTTAGCCTGGCATCCTCGACTTGCTTCTTTATGTCCTGGAAGTTGTCCTCTACCGCGTGTAGCTTGGACGTTACTGCCTCGCATTCTTGTTGAAGCTTGGTCAGGCCTTCCTGGTGCTCCATCACCATGGAACCGTAGCTCTCGATGTCGTCCTCTAAGTCTTTTTTTACTCTTTCAATCTTTTCTAGTGCTTCTTTCATCTGGCTCTCGGATTTCTCCATCTGCGTGATCTTTATGTGTGCGATTGTCACCTCCGTCTTGTACTGGTCCCTGAGCTTTCTGGCTTCCTTGAGATCTTCCTCGGTGCGTTCTCTTATCATCCTTTCAAAGTTAAGCTGGCCAGTCGTCGCGTTTAGCATCTGGTTCACTCTCTTTTGCACTTCCTCCTCGGTATAGAGCTCACCCAACGCTTTTGTTGCTTCAGAGAGCAGAGAGGAGATCTTTGCTTTGGGATTTATCCCGTAGAACATCTTGGTGAATGGAGAGCCGATGGAGTTTTCAGAAGGAGGCGGTGGCGTTGGTGGCGGACATAGCTGAGGTGGCGGCGCTGGCGGCGGCGGTACTGGTGCACTAAACGCGCTCTTTACTGTCGGTGCGAACAGCGGAGCAGTGGCTGGTCTGGCCAACTTCGGAGAGCTGACGTTGGTGACGACGGACGAGGGATTCAAGTCGATTGCGTCGAGAGCACATTTCACGTCCACCTTCTCGCAGGTACTGATTGGAATCGCCACTGGTCTTTCCGCTGACGTCTGGATCGCTGATGGAATGGCAGTAGCAACCTCCAGGACATAACTCCGTGGAACCGGAGCTATGGTCGGAACGGGGCTCTTGACGACCAGAGGCTCCGCCGGATTCACCTCTTGGTCTTGCAAGGCATCGAAGATATGGGTGATGAGAGGGCCAGCACCGAAGACAACAGTGTTGTTCGCCTTCTGCTTCATCCTCCGCAGCTCCTTGAGGATGTTCTGGAACATATACTCGGACCAGTTCACCTTGAATCCTTGCAAGCCTTGGGCGATGATCTCGACCAAGTTCCGGGACGTGTAGCCGGAGCTCACTCTCAGCTGTATCACCTCCGCGATCAACGAGAAGATTGGTGCCAGCGAAGGGTCCACCAGCTTGTCGTGCCTGTATCCCAAGTCCTTTTGGTAAGCGCCTTCCTTGAAGAGCATCACCTGGTCGCTGTTCTCAAACGATCGCTTGAAGCTCAGGACGCCCTCGTAGGAGAGCTTGAAGCGCTGGGAGATGAGGTTTGCAGTGAAACACACTCGTTTCCCCTTGACCACCGTCTGGTTTGTTTTCAGGTTGTAGTTGGCCACGAACTCCCGGACGAGCGAGACGCAGGTGACGTTCCACTTGACATCCGCGAGGCTGTGGAGGCCGAGAGTGGTGAGGAAGTCCATCCGGGGGCAGCCTTGCTCGAGCCAGTAGGAGGCGGCAATGTAAGTCCGGAACTTCAGATTTTTAGCTACTGCGTACCCAATGACATCGGCAGAAGTGGAAGAAGAAGAAGACGGTGGTGGTGTGGCCGTGAGTGTGGGAGCCGCCGCCGGCAGCGGAAGAACTAGAACTCCCCTCGTCCTGAGCTTCTTCTTGGCGGCGCCGTCTTCCTCCTCATCGCTGGCGGCGCTGGCGGCAAGCGGCGGCGGCGGCGGCGGCGGTCGCTTTGGAGCCATGGTATGTGGATTCCTTGAAAAACTCGTGCTGCGAATCTCACCACTTGGATTCCAGGAAACAAGGATGTGAACGGAGGAAGCCACTCACTCGCAAACAAGCTATGGATGTGGATTCCTTGAAAAGCTCTTGCGGCGAATCAACGATGTGAGCCGAGGAAGCTACTCACTCGCAAACAAGCTACCGCTCAAAGATCTACATCCTCAGAGCATTGTAATAATTTCTTTTCCCAGGAAACAAGGAGACTTCCTTCCAGGGACAGGGAATCTTAAAGAAGGCCGAGCTCCTTGCTTCCAGGCCCAGACCCTCCCAAGAAATGGATATACTCAAGGAAGACAAGTGCTATAGCGGTGGAGATGCCATGCGACGGGATCTTGGTGGAATATGCCCGTGACAGAGGCAGGGGATCTTTTTCTTGTGCAAGGCAAACGATTCCCCGCCGGATGCTCGCCACGTGCTCGGTGCGGATGCGTCGCGGCATCACGCGTTTGAGTCTGCGGATATGCCACGTCCGCGGCATCTCGCATTTAATGATCTTCTAACCGTACGATTCCCAGGGGATATTCTTGATTCAAACGAAGATTCTATTTAAAATGGACAAACTTTACGAGAACTCGAGGAGCTTCTGGACTTTGAGCTGGGCGTTTTTTAAGTCATTGTCCGCAAGATCCCGGTGTTGTAGCAATGAATAAACTTCCTCGAGTAGATTTTGCTTTTCCCGTGAATTTGACGAATGCCGAGAGCTCATCTCATCTTCAAATGCGGCAGCCTTTTCCGCGGCACGAGCCACGCATGATTCTGGAACCTGGATTGCAAGAAAGAGGAGCAATCTAGAATGAACAAGAGAAAACGAGCATACCTTTGCCAATCGAGCAACGTTTATGCCAAAGCTTCTGCTCGCTGCGCCGGGCTGGAGCTTGTAGAGGAACGTCACCTTTTGTGCCGCTTCTTGCACGGAGCTTTTGTCAAGGTCTCCTTCCGGGCTCTCCGCAAGATATGACATATGGTATGCTTGAACCCGGCCGGGAAAGAGCTTCACCACCTCCGTGACGTTCAAGTAGTGAGTAACGAAGAGCGTGAAGCATTGGACCTCTTGGAGAAGGTGATGGAGCGTCGCATACGCGATGGCGACGCCGTCGTGCGTGCTGGTTCCTCTTCCCAGCTCGTCGATGACTACCAGGGAGCGAGAAGTTGCCTTGTGGAGAATAGTTGAAGCTTCGCTCAGCTCCTCGAAAAACGTACTGGAGCCCCTCTGGATTCTGTCCATCGCCCCCATTCTCGTAAACACGGCATCGAATACATGCAGTTTGGCTGTCGCGGCTGGAACATACGATCCTATCTGCACGATAACAAAACATACGGAGTGAAAAGAAATAAAGATAGCTGCGAACCTGGGACATGATTGTGATTAGAGCAACTTGACGGATGTAGCAACTTTTACCACCCATGTTTGGACCAGTGATTATTTGCGATCGTTCACCCTCACCGGAAAGAACTGTGTCATTTGGTACAAATGCATCTTGCAGAGTCGAATCTAGGACCTGCTCATGGAAAGAAATTTCAGTAAAAATATTAAACGACAAGAGCAAAAGAAACAAACCGGATGTCGACCACCTTCTATCTTCAAAAGGCACGCTTCATCCACGAACTCCGGTCGAACATACCCCTGAAGCACATTTTTCATTCAGATAAGCGTTGAAAAACACAAGGAGACAGACCTGATTGCACGAGACAACAGCAAGGGAATAAAGACAGTCGAGAGCTGCTAGTGCCTGTACTGCAGCCCGGAACTCCATGTGATAGGAGGTAAAGTCAGTCAGGAACATGTCCCATGCTTTGGCGCAAGATATATTTAATTGCTCCTTTGCAAGTGCCATTCTTTCCGATGCTTCCAAGACCTCCGGAGGATGATAGCGGTTTGCCTTTTTCGTACTGTTTATTTTAACCCAATCTGCAGGTACACGCTGCACACATGGAACCTGAAACTACAAGCTTTTAGCAATCAAATAACTGAATTGAGAAAAAGAAAGTACCTCGACCAAAAACGACGTTCCCGAGACGCTCAAGTATTCCAGATTTGAACACTTCAACAGTTTCCGATAACTGGGAAGAAAACTTTCGAGATCCTCCTCAATACTTTTTATGTTCTCTTTGCACTCGTCTACCTGAAACACGACTTAAACGAAGTCTGGGAAACGATAACAAAACCTCGGGAAACTGGCCGGCAACAAACAAGTTAATCTTATCCCCGGCAGCTGCTGCCTCTGCATTCAAACTTGTCACAAGCTTGTTTGCGTGATCTATCACTGAAGTTGAAGTCACTGCGGAGATTAGCCTGCTGAGGAGCGCAGACCTGGCGTCGCGAACCCGTTGAAACTGGGACGCTGCTTTCATAATCGCATTAATCACGTTAATGAACTGCAGCAAACATTACGGTCAGAAAAGAATAACAAACAGGATTACAGAAAAGCAAAGGTACCTCATACGTTGTTGCTGTTTTGTGATAAATTCTTGTGATACCACGCTCAAGATCAGGCAATTTTCCCAGCAGCAACAACGTTGAAGCTAAAGTTGCAACTGTTGTACCTCTGCCTTTATCTCCAATGGATTCGGCAATTTCCGCAACGGCGTCTAAACGTTGAGAAATAAGCATGCGGTCTCTTAACGGATGGGTCACCTGAAAATAGACATGAATGAAAAAACGAAAAATCCAAGATTGTGACTGAGACCAAACTCCTTACCCAATACTTAAGCAGCCTCGCGCCAAAAGCAGTTTTTGTGTGGTTCATAAGCCAGAATAAAGATCCGTTTTCAGTACCATCAGTTTGGTTATGTAGAATCTAGAAAGAAAAAACTTGTTACTGCGTAAGTAAACGTCGCATTCAGTGATTACCTCAAGCTGGCGGATGGTATTGGGCGAGAGCGTCATCTCTTGCTGCCCGGCAAATGGTCGGAAAAGAGCTCCTAAGCGCAATACATTTTCCAGATTAAACTGCTTCAGGTAAGCAAATATATGCGCAAACGCAGCAACCACGATTTCTGGCATCGTCATCAACGCCTGCAAACTTCAATTCTCATCCGATAGTGTAATCAAGACAACTAGAAAATTACCTCTAACCCTGCATCAACCTTCTCGTCCAGACAGCCTTTCTTAGAAGACGCCAAGCTCCCATAGAAGTCCGCAAGAGCAGCAACAGTACCGCCATTTTCAAACGAGTTCTCAGGCGTCTTCTCGACTCGAACATCCGCTGCGACTGCATAGTCCATCAACAACTATAGAAAAATCACCATCATTCATATACAACCCGATCAGAGAAAAGAAAACAGCTTACCTTCTTTGTAGAAGCGGACAAGGACGCAGATAAAAGAAGTTCTGCGGGAGCACACGCAAGCAACCGTGATTCCAGTTCCGTCCTGGTGACAGTGTCCATAAAGTGACCGTACATCACGTCTCCGGTCGAGGTTTCCACGGCCACCACCCCAAATCTAGCATCAAAACTTCCCCTCACTTCATCCTTTCCAGCGTTGGCCTTGTGCTCGGTGATTGCCTCCTCCACAACACACATGATATAGCTGCTAAGACGAATAGGTCCATCCCTTTCCCCGCTCTCTTCTCCCCCAAGAAACTCCCCGGCCTCGAGCGTGGCCTTGGTATATAGCGCCGAGAGATCTCTCGAGAACGGGCCAGCCTTGTTCGTCCCGTGAGCTTTGATAGCCGCTGTCTCGGTCTGCTTGACAACGCCAACTTTGTAGCCAGCTTCCACAAGCCTTCTCACATGTACGTGCAGCCGGAACGTTGGAACGCTGGCAGTGAGAAAGTTGTGGCTGTAGTAAGCAACGATTCCCAAAACATTGGCTGCTTTCTCCGCATCCTCTCCGAAAAATCGAAACTTGTATCCCACCTCGACCATGAGAAGGACGTCTGGGAATTTCTTCTTGAGCTCCACAATCTGCTGCTCCAGAGGAGTAAGCTTCTCCTTCCTTGACGGCGGCTTTCCATAAAAGGAGGGATTTCCACCACCGCCATCCCTGTCCCCCTCTCCAAGAAGAACATCTACAAACTTTCTACGCCTGTCTTTAATCGCTTCCCCCGATACTCCGCAATCGGCCTTCCCATCGCCCGACCCGGCGTCTACATCTAAATTCAAGCACCGTTTCTTACTCGCGCTGGCCGCATTCTCGGCTGATCGCCTGAGATGATACGGCGATGGCCACACAAGTGTGGGAGCCCGCGATGCATCGGTCTCACCTCGCTTGAAGAAGCTGGGGATGATCGCCTGGCCCTTGGCGGCGGCAGCGCCCTCGTCCTTCTTTCTCTTTCCCATTCAAAAACTTATAAACCCTAAGATTCTTCTATATTATCAATAAATAATTTATTTTGATAAATTGTTAATGTCCAAATTCCATGATCAATTTTTCCATTACGTCACAGCCACATATTTTCCTTTATTCTGCACACAATTAAATCTTTTTTAGTACTTAATTCATCATTTTTACTAGTAATAGTTTTATATATAGTTTCAAAAACATTCTTAAATATATGCATATAATCCTTTAAAAATGCTACTGGCAACTTATAAAAAATGGAAGTTGATAAAATGTGAATATAATCATTTTTTATCATTAGATAATGATATTTGATCTTCTTGTCTAACCAAATAATAATATGTTGCCTATTGTTTTGGAGTCATCTATCCTAGTATTGGTCAAATATAATTATGGCCATTAAATAAACTAATTAAAATTAGAATTTAATTTATGTTTTAGAAATAATAACTAAAATCTTACATTCTATTAGTAGACCTAAATAGATGATCCATAGGTAAAAAACACCAATGACTAATATATATGCATTTTTATAAACTTTGTGACTATATTCCAAGAATCTAGATCCACAGTCTAGGTAAAAGTATTTTCCCATTAATTTGAAGTCCTGAACAAAATCATAATCCAGGAAAATCATGAATAAACTATCACATTGCTTCTCTAAACTTTAAAACCTGTTGACCTTTTGGCTTAGAATTATCTTTCCATGGCACTTCATCCTATAATTGTTTCAACTCTTCCAAAAATAATGACCAATAAATATTAGGTACTAGGAAGTTTTAGGCCTAGAAAAATTATAAATAGAAATATTTCATTTTATTTTAAACTAATACCTGGTTTAATCATAATAAGAAATATAAATGAAGGCTTAATTGCTAAAGTTGGTGGTATATTATTATTAACTGCAACAATTGCCTAACATGAATATATTTTTGCCATTAATTTTATTGGAGAAAGATCATTTGTAGCCATAGCAAGATGTATATCTCTTGGATTTACTACAAATTTTTTTAAGATGAACCATCTGCAGACATTCTCATTATTCCATTAATGGATTGATGATAAAATGATAAGCTAAATATTGTGTTATTTCTCTACATTGAAATTATTATTGAAGTCAAGGTATAATAGAGATAAAATAAAATTATTAATAAATTTAAATAATAAATTAATAAAAATTAATTACCTTTCAAAATGATCTGTTTCTTTTCTTAATATTCCAGTAATAACTTGCACATCTAGAATCCTTAAACAAGCCAACAAAATAGAAACACTTGCCCCTTTATAAATAAGTAATAAATTGCCTTCATTTCCATGTAAGCCAATAAATGATCCATAGGTAAGAAACACCAATGACCATTATATATGCATTTTTATAAATTTCATGACTATACTCCAAGAATCCAAGTCCACAGTCTAGGTAAAAGTATTTTCCCATTATTTTGAAGTCTTGAACAAAATTATAAATGAATAAACTATCATATTGCTTCTCTAAGCTTTAAAAACTATTGACCCTTTAGCTTAGAATTATTTTTTAATGGCACTCCATCCCTTAATTGTTTCAACTCTTCCTAAAATAATAACTAATAAATATTAAATTTTTGGACCTAGAAAAATTATAAATGTAAATATTTCATTTTAGTTTATAAACTAATACCTGGTATAATCATAATAAGAAATATAAATGAAGGCTTAATTGCTAGAGTTGGTGGTATATTATTATTAACTGCAACAATTTCCTATATTTTTGCTATTAATTTTGTTAGAGAAAGATCATTTGCAACCATAGTAAGATGTATATTTCTTGGATTTACTGCAAAATTTGGGTAATCATCTTCAATTTTTTTTAAGTTGAACCATTTGCAGGCATTCTCATTATTCCATTAGTGGATTGATGATAAAATGATAAGTTATATATTGTGCTATTTCTCTACATTGAAATTATTATTGAAATCAAGGTATAATAGAGAAATAGTGCATTATTGTCTCAGGTATATAATTGCTAAAATCTTTGTGCTTGCTAGGAATAGAAATTTGACAAAATTGAAGGTCCTTATTCTCCTTATGAAATAACATGAAATCATTGATGCATGAATCAATCTTTTTATAGGTAAGTCCATTATGTTAAGCGATATTTACCACTTCCTTATAATTATTTGAAAACTTTTATTTGTAGGCAACATTTTTTTAAAGAGCCTTTATCCAAATAATTAAAAATTCAATACTAAATAATAAATAAAAATTAATTACCTTACAAAATGATCTATTGCTTGGCTTGATATTCCGATAATAACTTTCAGATGTAGAATCCTTAAACAAGCCAACAAAATAGAAGCACTTGCCCCTTTATAAATAGGTAATAAATTGTCTTCATTTCCATGTAAGCAATTTTAAAAATAATTAAATATATTATCATTCTCAAAATCATCATTGCCACTACCATTACCACCACTCAAATTAATATAACAATCATCTGGAACTATAGGGCTTTTATCAATTTCAAAAAATTGTTATACTAAAGTAGTAGATCTGCATAATCTAATCCCTTGAATATCTTCCATTGAAAACCATGCATCATGTGGTGCTAAAGGATGTTTACCATAAAGACGAATATGATTTATGATAATTTGTATAAGGTAAATATAATTACTTCTACACCTTAAACACTAACATGCAACTCTCATTCCTAAATCCTAAACAAAAAACTTAATACAGATCTGAGGAAGAAAACAAAGTTGTTTTATTAGGAAATTATGTGCTAAAAGTGGGTACTATTAGTAATTTAGTTGATGTAAATATTGCTGAAATTTATGACTAAAACTTTTGGAAAACTTACATTTTAGTCACAGTTTAAAAGTTGTAAATTGCAACTCTAATTAGCAACATATATGAGCTTATCTAGCTTTAAAGAATATGTTACTACAAATTATGATTTATATTTTAGTTGTAAAGGACAACTATAATTTCCAACTTAAATTTGAGTAACTATAAAGCTATCACAAATTACAACTTAAAATTTGTAATAAAGCCAATTTGCTACTAACATTTAAGTTGAGTTGATTACAACTTAAGATTTCCAACAAACACAAAAAATTTGTTGGAAAAACATATCATTATAATGCTTTTACGGACTGGCAGAAGTCAAGTCTACGTCTTGACCTGTCGAAGTCCACAAAAAATCACCACAAAAAAAAATTGTACAAAAATCTATGTTATATAATATAGTTGATAGCCCAGTATACCAATGGCAAATCTCAAGTCCCCCACTTTATTGACTACCTCAATTGACTCGAAGTCAAGTGTGCCAAGAATTGGTTATCAAATGTGCGTGTAAACTCTGCAAAAAGAAGAACCTCATCTTTCATGATAGCGTTCACTCTTTGATGTTCTGATCCATGGCCATGTCTCTCGCGGATTTGCTGCTGCCTTTGTTTCTACTCGTCTTTCTCACAAGATCCCGGTCACAGTGCCCCACAAATCCATCCGCAATCGTGAACGACACACAGGTTCTTCTCTCTCTCCGTGACAGGCTTGGCATCAAAGTGTGGAACGAGACTGCCAATCCAAGAGCATGGCGGGGAGTGGAGTGGAGCTCGGACAACCAAGTGGAGGGCCTCGCTCTGTCCAGGTTTAATCTCTCGGGAGTTTTTCCTGCCACCTGGGCCGAGCTTCCATCGCTGGCTCGCCTGGACCTCTCGCAAAACGGCCTCTCCTCGCTGGAAGTCCCTTGCAAAAATACGCAGCTCAACCTCCTCAACTTGAGCTCCAATTCCCTGCAAGAGTTCCCTGGAAATCTCTCCAGCCTCGAGAGTTTGGAAAGCCTGGACCTCAGTGGGAACTTCTTAACAGTGGCCGGACTCCCAAAGTTTAGCTTGACGCTGCGATCGCTCAACCTGTCCATCAACAACTTAACTGGGAGCTTTTCCATTGGTGGTAACCTGGGACTGGAGGCACTGGAACTCTCGGACAACGGACTCAGCGGCTCCATTCCAGAAACTTTCGGGGAGATGACGAACTTGACGCGCCTGGACATATCGTATAACAGGTTTACAGGAGATCTACCCGATATTTGGAGCAAGAACTTGGAGCTCAGGTACATGGGTATCTCCAACAATTCGCTCCAGGGTGGTTTGCCACCGAGCTTGAGAAGGCTACGCAAGCTCTCGGATTTACGCGCTGCATACAACTCTCTCTCCGGGCCACTGGAGCTGGAAGATGGCGACTTTGCAAGCATCGAGGTTTTGAACCTCGGGCTAAACTGGTTTAGCGGAACGATCCCGGCTACGCTGGGAGGCTTGAGGAACTTGAAGATCCTGGTTCTCACGGGGAATCGTTTTAGTGGCACCATCCCAGGCGAGCTCTCGAAGCTCTCGCATCTCCAGCTGCTGGTTCTCACGGGGAATCGTTTTAGTGGTGCCATACCTCCGGAGCTTGGAAACTGTTCGAACATCAGAGGGATACGCCTCGACAGCAATTACTTGACTGGAACAATCCCAGGCGAGCTCTCGAAGCTCTCACATCTCCAGCAGCTAGTTCTCAGCAGCAACGACATCGGCGGGGAGCTCCCTTCCGGACTCTCCAACTGCACCGTGCTCGTCGTTCTCTGGCTGGGAAAGAACAAGTTCTCTGGAAATCTCCCTGAGAGCTTCGGGGATTTGAGCCGCCTGCTCATTCTGGAGCTTTCCAGCAACGATCTTGTCGGTTCAATCCCGGCCATGTTGCAAAACATGTCGGCTCTGCAGTTCCTCATCCTCGAAAACAACAGATTCAGTGGCTCCATACCGGACTGGCTTCCCAGGCTCACGAACTTACGAGCCATGGACTTCTCGGTTAACAGGTTCTCTGGGGAGATGCCGGAAAGCATTGGCCGACTGTTTGCCAACGTCCAGCTTTACAACAAGAGCAAACGGCATATGATGATTCAAACCGGAGGACTCGTCTACAACGGCTTCGCCTTCCCGACCTTCATAGACTTCTCCTTCAACCAGCTGACTGGAAGCATTCCAGCCGCCATTGGCGACCTCTACAAGCTCCAGGTGCTGGACCTGAGACACAACCAGCTAACAGGTCCCATTCCCGAGTCCCTGGGGAAGGCAAGGAATCTCTCCAAGGTGTGGCTCGCGGGGAATCGTCTCAATGGCTCCATACCATCGTCCGTGGCGGACCTCTCGTTTCTCACCATCTTCGACGTCTCCAACAACAGCCTGGTGGGACGGATACCTGACAGCCCGCAACTCTCGTCCATGGACGCGGCTCTCTTCGCTGGGAATCAGCTCTGTGGCTTGCCACTGACCAACACCTGTTCGAGCACTGCTATGCCGCCACATAAGCTTAGAACAGAGGGACAAGGTGGTAGCGAACAGGACCAAAGAGAGGTGATAACACTTGTCAGCGTTGCGATCTTCGTGGCAGCCTTCTTCAACGCGTTCTTCTGGACCTACTTTGCGGCAAACCACAGAGCTCATTCCCATGCTGGCAATCAAATCTCTAGCTCGTCCACCATGTTGCTGCCGTCCTTTCTACCTTCCAGTTCGTAATCCATCACCATCGTGTGACCGCTTGATGAAGTGAACTCTTCTTATCTGCTTTCAAGGCCGCCTCCTGTATAGTTTTGAGCTTATCATGATCCTCCCACAGCCCCGCGCTCCGGTAGATGCTCGCCATCAGAACGTACGCAGCCGAGTCATTCTCGTCGATCTTCGTCAGTGCCTCGAACGCAATCCTCCCCACTTCCACTTACGGCAGGCCCTCCTCCAAACCACAGCATCCGCTCTCAAAGGCATGCTCTCGAGGACTTTCAAGGCCTCTTCCAGTCGGTTACGAGATCCACCAAGCTGCTGTAGTGATGAATCCCGCAAACAATGCCAGAGTCCGGGTCCATTGCCTGGAAAAACTCCCTGCCTCGTTCAACTATGCCGCCGTGGCTGCAAGCAGTGATGACCGAGACAAATGTGATTGCGTTTGCTCGCACGCCATCTTCTCGCATCTCGCGAAAGGCTTCGAACACGCGCGACGTGTCACCCTGTTGGCCGAATCCCGTGATCAGTGCATTCCAGGCGACGATATCTCGGACTGCCAGAGATCCAAACAAGTGCTCGGCCGCACTCATAACTCCGCACTTCCTGTAGAAGTTTACTCCCCACAACTTGATCGTCTTCCAGCCCACGCCTGTAAAGCTCAGCCTGGATTCCTTCCAGCTAGGCCGTAAGTGCTACAAGAGTCCGAGAGTTTGGAGCACAGTCCACTCCAAGAGTTCCAGCCCGAGCTCACTCTCACCGTTGTCTATATATCCCTGTATCGAGCTCGTCCAAACGACAACGTCCCGGCTAGGCATGCGTTTGAAAACTGCTCGAGCTTTCACCATATCTCCACACTTGGCATACATGTCCACCAAGCTGCTCCCGACAAATCTGTGCTCGCAGCGTCCAAACTTCGCGGCGAGAGAATGAATCTCCATCCCCTTTTCTAGGCTCTGGATTCGCACTAGCTTTCCATCTTCTCGCGGAACAGGTGGCTCGGACGCTGAAAGGTGGACGCAGGCCATGAGCGCAGCAACAAACGTTCTCTCGTCCGGATCGTCCTCCCGAGCCATGCCGAAGAACAGCTCCAAGGCCAGCTTGCTGTCTCCACTTACATCGGCCAGCCATGCCATCGAAGACCTTGCGAGCTTCCTCTAGCTTCTCACACTTCGCGTACATATCGATCAGAGTGTTCCCCACGAACACGTCCCCACAGCACCTGTTGTTTGAAGCTTCACCGTGGATAGCCACCCCGGTTTCCAAGCTCTTTCTCTTCACGAGTTGCCGAGCTCGCACAGGCGGCAAGCGCAGTAACACACGTCCGAGAGCTTGGACAGCACCCAGATAGCTTCATATCTTCGAAGAACACGAGAGCCAGCTCGCTTTCCCCGTTGTCCACAAAGCCTTGTATCAAGCTCGTCCAGAGCACGACATCACGACGAGGCATGCTCTCGAAAACCATCCGCGCGTCGACCATGCTCCCACACTTTGAGTACATGTCACTTGGCTGCTCCCCACGAAGATATCTCCACAGCAGTGGCTTTTCACAGCTCCATCGTGAACAGCGAGCCCCTTTTCCAGGCTCTTCGTCTTCACCATCTTTTGGTGGCCTCCTCTTTCACTTCTAGATTCGCACAGGCCTTGGCAGCAGCAACGAAAGTCCAAGACTTTGGCGAGCAGTCCATTTTCCCAAAGAACTCGAGAGCGACCTCGCTTTCTCCATTCTCTACGTAGCCCAGTATCAACGCGTTCCAGGAGACCACGTCTCACTGTGACATCTCATCGAAGACCGATCGAGCATCGAGCATGATGCCGCACTTAGCTCGAGAGGAAAACGTCTTCGCTGCAAGACGGTCCCATCTGCTTGGCTTGAGAATGGATGCCTCTGCCGGTCTCGAGACTAGCCTCCTTGACGAGCTTCCCATCGACCAAAACAGCGTCTTCCTTCGCCGCGAGGCTGCTACAAGCCTTTGCCGCGTCCTGGAGTTTGGCTTGCAGCCCGACCGCCTGGCTTGCATCCTCTCGAAGAGATCCAGAGCCACATCGCTCTCGCCATTGGACACGTAGCCCAGCATCAAGGACATCACGTTTGGGTGCCATCCTACTCGGGCCTGAAAGTAAACATGCAACGCCAGGAGGCCTAAGCTTGTCAAAACTGTGTTTACCAATGCGATGGTGCTCTGTGCCTGTAAAGCTTTTCCAAAAATTTCTCACACTCGGAAACCAAAAAAAAATCCAACTTTGAGCGTTCCAGTAGTTGTAGAGAGTGTCATACAAGCAGAAGTTTATCGCAAGCGTTGGGCCTATGGCAGGAGTCAAGTCTGTGGCATTTGGCAGGGAGGAAAACCAATACCAAAAGCATTGGTCAGAGTTCCTTATAAAGGCTAAGAAAGCTCTCCTGTTGATGGATTGTGGAAAGCGTGTGATAGATGCAGACGCACGGCAACATCTACACGCAAGAGCACAAAAGCTGTCAAGGGAACAACCAACAACAAAGATCACAAAGCTCAAGGTGAGGAAATTTAGGAGAAGACTTAGGAACAAGATCCTGAACATGTAACCACCTTGCAGGTTCCAAACTTACAGTCGTCAATCTAGAGTGTAATGTGAACATGACCCAGCAGGAGCAGTCTCCAGCATCTCCACTGCACACAGCAACACCAACACAACCAGCTCTCAATGCCGACACCAACAACATGCTACATCACCGCAAACACCACAGTTGAGAGCATCCCAAGCAGGAGTGATGCTGCAAGCCTGAGCTCACACTGGATCTTAAGTTTGGCATTTCTCCAGTTTGTGGACAAAATGCAGTGTCTCCAGTCAACACCATAGATGCCGATACCAGCAGATTTTGCGAGGTTTTTTCACAACAAGCAGATGAGCATTTTCATGCGAGACAGAGTCCAATCAACACCTTTGTCTACCAGCCCCTAGATGTGAAGCTCACGAAGATCCAGAACCATATTCTCCAGCTCAAGAGGAGCATTTGAGGTACAACTTTCTAGGGATCTGTATGCACAAAAACTTAGCGCATGAACAAGGAACTCCCCAAGGAGAATGCAGAGCTTCGCAATGAGATCCGACAGCTCAAGGTGAAGCAACTGTAGTGTGCTACAACAGAAGAACAAGTTCAAGAATGAGCTCTCTGGAGTCATAGCAACAATAAAACAGCTTAATGCCATGGAGAAGTGAGAGCTTCAAGATGAAACTCAACTCAGTTGCAGGAGAAAAGTGGAGCATAGAAAATCAACTTTATATTTAGAAACATCATCCTAAGGCTTGAAATTTAAACTTTGAGACTCAAGAATAGGAATGAATGGCAATTGCCCCATGTAGAACTAATTAAGGGGGTGAGTTAACACTCAAACTTTATCCCTTTCTTTTGTATTCTAGCCTTCCATCATTAATGCATGTTTATTTGCTCAAACCTAGAATACTCAAGCAATGCCAAGTTTATCTTTGCTCATGACTTCAACAAAAGCCTTCATGGGGATTGAAGGACTCAAATCATTCCTTTTTTACTTTTTATATATTTATTTGTGTCTAGCTGAAGCAAATGCAAAATTAAATCAAACAAGTGTAGTAGTAAATATCCACTCTACTCTCACCTTCTTTTCTCTTTCACTCTTATTTTCTTTTCCTCTTTCTTTCTTTTGTAATATAAGCTTTTAGCATATAAATTTTTACCCAAGTTTCTAGGAATGACTTGTTTTGACCTTTAAAGAAATGATTGAGAAATACATGAACTTTTAGCATTTAGATTGGGATGGATATTTGTCATTTCTTTGGTATATATATATATCATAGGGTATAAAGTTCCATTGGTGCTTCACCTTATAAATTTCTATATGGTCATTATTTGATATTGCTAATGGAGTTGAGTTTTGCTATAAGTTGCTAATACTAAGTCTTGGGATCAATATTTGATAAGTGTTCTTCCACTCATTCAAGTGGAATTTATTGAGCACTTAGGCTGTGTATAAGTGGGATAATAACAACACAACAAGTTCCATCATTGTTCACTAGTGGAGTATAAAGTGGATGATTTAATGTTAATCCATTTTCCTAATGTTATAGTATATGGTTTCTCTAAGGGGCTCTTTATTCAGTGGAAGGGACCATATTAAGTATTGTGGTAAGTTAAACTACACATTTATAAAGTTTGGCAAAACATTCAACAAACTAATCCTCCAGAAATTACACATATGCAATAACTTAAACACTTTGTATAAAGGGATCAGGCCCCACCTATAGATCCACCAATGCCTCCTCTTATCTTGTTAATCTGAAAACCTTAACTACTTTTCATCCTTTTAAAAGAATAGGATGATATGAGGTCTGTATGATGTTGTATTTAAATATTAGTATAATTTTTAGTATTAGTATAATTTTATTTTAAAATTTTTGAATTCAGCTTTATCAAGCTATGTATATATTGGATTTTACTTAATTAATCTTCTGTTTTTTCTTGATGTTGGTTTAAATAAATATATTAGTAACTGTTCATTATATAAATGGGAAGAAACTATATTTTGTTGTTTAAATTTTTATTACAATAACTTGAAACACCTTATTACAAAAATTTGAAATTTCTATAATAGGATTTGGATCAGTTAACTCTTTGAATAATAAGTTTATTTTATAAATAAAATGATTTACCATATAATCTTGAATAAAATCTAATGAATAATTAAATAATATATTAACTATTTATTTTCAAAAAGACTTTTTACTTGAAAGAACTCTTGTTTTTTTCCTTTTATATTGAAGTGTATATGCAATATTTCTTGTTTTATTTAAAGCCTTCTTCTTTTTGTTGCCATATCTCTTTGGAAAATTAAATCATAAAATTATTTTCAGAAATTTTAAACTAACTTCTAATCCCAATCTTCTAATAATAGTGCTAAATCTATGCAATTTATCGTGCTAATGCCATCCTAATCACGATATTAATGGCTTCCTAATTGCAGTCCTAATCCATGTAATCAGTATTAATTATACTCCTAATTGCAAGGTAGTGGCACAAACCTAATCACATCCTCTCAAGGATTCAAGGTTTTTTTGATTCAAGCTTTTTGTTCTTTCAATCAAGCATTGCTGAGAGTTGGAATTCGAGGAATAACGGTGAGCAATGTTCGTGGTTTAGGCACTCAAGGTGGAGCTGTGTTTTCTCTCTTTTTTCCCTGTGGAGAACAAAAGCTTCCAGGAGAAAAGAAACCAGTTCTTACCCTTGATACTTGGGAGTCTCCAAGGTCTAGAAAAAAAGGAGAGAGAAGCAAAGAAATTGGTATCACTGCGTTACCAGTCAGATCTGAGCTCCAAAGACATCCTCTATCCTCAGCAATCCAAAAGAAAAGAGAAAGAAAGCTCAAACCTTTCTGCAGCATGTTAAGATCCTTGAGCCCTCCAAGAGCGGTGCATCTATCCCTGCCCTCTCCAAATCCTGGCGCCTACCACACCCAATGGTGTGTGGGACGAGGCTATTGCCACTGGCCAGCATCGCTCGGTACAGAATCTCGCCTTAGCGGCCAAGAAGATTTCCCATTTAGCCCTAAATTCTGACACCTCTTCATCTGGCAATTGGATGATTTTATCTGACTCATTCATTTTGACAGCATTTAATGAGCCAGCTGAGGCAAATGATATACACTTCTAGGAGTCACTGAGGTATAGAAGTATCTGTGCTGATATCCTTGATCACAGAACTTTGGATATCTAAAACTATTCCCATCCAAAAGTTTTACTTGATCAATCACCATGGATAGCATATGATTTTCCTCTCCTTCCTTAATATTGAACCACTGAACTTTAAAAATAATTCTCTTGAATGATCTAAAGTTTACCTCATAAATATAAAAGGTATCTATAATAATAAGAACGAAGAACCCAGACCCCTGCAGCCGTCTGGGGCAGCCTCGGAAGCCATGGTTCTCAGCAAGGGGAGGCCAGCTTAGGCTTGGGCCAGGGCCGGTGGCCATGGTTAGCGGGAATATTGGCTCAATGTTGTGGCGGCCAATGGGTGGGATGCATGCGTGGCGGGGAAGGGAAGAGGGCGTGGTGACATGTGTTATGCCATGCACTCCTAGGGCTCCATGGCTGCTCTGGTCGGACACGGTTGTGTGGGCATTTCCGTGAGAGCCTGTGCATGGTAAGTAACAGGGGCGGGTAGAATGGTAGTCGGGCACACAATCCAGGCTCCTCTCGGGATCAACTCAGGACTGTGAGAGGCAAATTGGCTCATCTCCAACTCAGCAAAGCTTTGATCCCTGTTTGCCATTGCCTCACGAGCTCTTTGGCCTGTAGGAAAGCAATTATCAAGGACACTCCCTCTTCATCCCCGGATTCTCTCGAGGAATCCCTTGTTGCTGGGCCTGGTGAGGGATTGTTGTTTCAGCACATGCTCGGGATCAACTCCGTTTGTAGGAACCTGTTTTGAGTTGACGTAGGGCTGTCGAGTGGCTGTGCCAGCCAACACTGCTCCTGAAGTTTTGGAAATCTGACATGGCACTGATGTCTGGGTTCTCTCGAAAGAGAAGGAGAGAAGCAGAAGGTGCCACCGCAAGCATCCCGCCAACTGTTGGGAAAGGATGGGAAAGCTGGCATCAATCGATTTGTTGCAGTAGCCCATGGATAAAACTGTAGTCCATGGATAGATGTATGACATTATAGTCAGCATTCCAGAATCAATCCTAAGATAAATTTGTTTAGTATGATCATGTTAAACTAACAAAATTCACCTACATTGTCTGGAGTTCAGTCAAGCCTACAAATGATGGAACTGGCTGAGGAGAAAAGGAGTTGTTTCCAATGCTTCTGTTATGCATACACATGCATCAGGTAAACTCCAAGTTAAGACGAAATATTACATTAGTTGGAGAGCTTTCAACCTGCTTAGATCAGGTAACGTTCCAGTAAAAGCATTATCATTGATGTGTCTGTAAATGAAACAAAACTTGAGTGCAAAGTAGTTACCATATTAGCTATTTACATTTCAAAGAGGGTTGATATCCGCCCCAAACTGCTCGGCAATGATCCAGCAAATCGATTTTTGTCAAGTCTCCTGAAAATACACTATTACACGAGATTGTATTCTAGCCATCAATGACTTACATGATGGTCAGCTTGGAAAAGTTTCCAATTTCATTGGGAACTTCTCCAGAGAAGCAGTTATTGTCCAGTAACCTGAAGGACAACAGGTCCAAAAACCTCCAAGAAAATGAGAAAAATACGTACAAGTGCTTGAGTTCAGGTAAGAAATATATTTCTGGTGCGTCCACCTCTTTGTAAACCACCCAGCATTTGCTGGGCAAGTACTCGTAAAAAACTAAGATAGATCAAAATACATACCTGGAAAATCAATATGAGGTTGTTGTGGATTCCTTAACGTAATTATAATGCTGTCCATTGTTTTCTTATTTGCATCAATTTGAGAAACTCTAAAATGCTTTCCATTAATCTAATATACTGTATAACTCATGGCCTAAAATTTAAAACTAATTAATGATTAATTAATGTTAATTATGACTTTGCATCCATTACCCAAATCCTTAAAAACATTTGATACTGATTCACCTCTTTGAATAGTATATTGTATGATTTCATATATAATAGCCATAATAGGTAATAGTGGTAGCTATTTTAAATTTTCAGGAATCTATTGGTTTGGATGGTCAATAACATATTGCATTCTTGCATTATCTCTTTCAATTCTTGCTTGTTGATACTTTTGAAGGATAAGCTGCATTTCCTCTTCATTAAAGTAAATATATAGAGAAATATTTTCATATGCTTCTTAACTAAGTTGAATTTGTTTTCCTAGATGCTACAATCAAATACTACTATAATCAAATGGAGATATAAACTATGAAATACTTAAGCAAATTAGAACTAAAATATTATGCATATAAAAACTCTTTCTTAATAGCAGACCTTCAGCTATAAATCTTCAAGTTTTACTTTTTGTCTTACCAAAGATTTTAAAACCCTTAAATAACACTCAATAAAAAATATATTTCAGCTAGTTCTAGGACCAACCATCTTTAACTCATCAATTAACTATACTAATAAATGAACTTGTGTTGTCATAGCTGTTGTAAATAATGTTGCTTCCAATAAACACACATAAATGATAGACTTTTCTTTCATAATAGGTTTCAAAGATCTATCTACTTCTTGAGCAGTTTAAAATCTAATTAAAATTAAAATTAATTAAATTAAAAAAATTAAATCAATTATTACCATACAACTTCTCCAAGAAAATATATTGCATCCTGTAATTGAGGTGTTGTGTTTCCCATTATAAAAATGAGATAAAAATCCTACTAAATATGTTAATTTACGTTTTAGTAAATTTAGAAACTTATTTATAGTAAATGAAGCCAATTATTTTCATACCTATTAAATTACCTTTCTCATCGACACAATTTGAAAATTCAGTTCCATATGTTTTAAGCACTTTAAAAGCCTCTATATTATCAATAAATAATTTATTTTAATAATTTGTTAATATCAAAATTCCATGCTTAATTTTTCCATCACATCACAACCATATGTTTTACTTTATTCTGCGCATAACTAAGTCTTTTCTAGTACTTAATTCATCAATTTTACCAGTAATAGTTTTATATATAGTTTGAAAAATATTCTTAAATATATGCATGTAATCCTTTAAAAATGCTACTGGCAACTTATAAAAATATAGAAGTTGATAAAATGTGAATATAACCATTTCATACTATTAGGTAACAATATTTGATCTTCTTGTCTAACCAAATAATAATATGTTGCCTAACGTTTTGGAGTCATTTGTCCTAGTATTGGTCAAATATAATTATGACCATTAAATAAACTAATTAAAATTTAATTTTAATTTATGTTTTAGAAATAATAACTAAAATCTTATATTCTATTAGTAGACCTAAATGGATGATCCATAGGTAAGAAACACCAATATCCAATATATATATGCATTTTTATAAACTTCGTGACTATATTCCAAGGATCTAGGTCCACAGTTTAGGTAAAAGTATTTTCCTATTAATTTGAACTCCTGAATAAAATCATAATCCAAGAAAATTATGAATAAACTATCACATTGCTTCTCTAAGCTTAAAAAACTATTAACCCTCTGACTTAGAATTATCTTTGCATGGCACTCCATCCCATAATTGTTTCAACTCTTCCAAAAATAATAACCAATAAATATTAGGTACCTTAGGAAGTTTTGGACCTAGAAAAATTATAAATATAAATATTTCATTTGAGTTTTTAATCTAATATCTGGTATAATCATAATAAGAAATATAAATGAAGGCTTAATTGCTAGAGTTGGTGGTATATTATTATTAATTGCACCAATTGCCTAACATGAATATACTTTTGCCATTAATTTTGTTGGAGAAAGATCATTTGCAGCCATAGTAAAATATATATTTTTTGGATCTACTGCAAAATTTGGGTAATCATCTTTGAATTTTTTTTTAAGTTGAACCATCTGCAGGCATTTTCATTATTCCATTACTGGATTGATGATCAAATGATAAATGATATATTGTTTTATTTCTCTACATTGAAATTATTATTGAAGTCAAGGTATAATAGAGAAATAATGCATTATTTTCTCAGGTATATAATTGTTAAAATCTGTGTGCTTGCTAGCAATAGAAATTTGACAAAATTAAAGGTCCATATTCTCCTTATGAAATAACATAAAGTCATTGATGCATAAATCAATCTTTTTATAGGTAAGTCCATTATGTTTAGTGATATTTACCACTTCCTTATATATATTTGAAAATGTTTATTTGTAGGAAACATTTTAGTAACAGTTTAAAAGTTGTAAATTGCAACTCTAATTAGCAACATATATGAGCTTATCTAACTTTAAAGAATATGTTACTACAAATTATTATTTATATTTTAGTTGTAAAGGACAACTATAATTTCCAACTTAAATTTGAGTAACTATAAAGCTATCACTTAAATTTTGTAACTAAAGCCAATTTGCTACTAACATTAAATTGAGTTGATTACAACTTAGATTTCCAACAAACACAAAAAAATTGTTGGAAAAACATATCATTATAATGCTTTTACGGACTGGCAGAAGTCAAGTCTAAGTCTTCACCTGTCGAAGTCCACATTCTATCCACCGTGGCCAAAAAATCACCACAAAAAAAAATTGTGCAAAAATCTATGTTATGTAATATAGTTGATAGTCCAGTATACCAATGGCAAATCCCAAGTCCCCCATTTATTGACTAGCAAGGCTTTCATCAAGGCCCTTTGCTAGTCAATAAAGTCAATAAAGTATTTTTACAATGGTAAATCCCAAGTCCCCCACTTTATTGACTAGCTCAATTGACTCGAAGTCAAGTGTGCCAGGAATTGATTAGCAAATGTGCGTGTAAACTCTGCAAAAAAAACCTCATCTCGCACGTTCACTCTTTGATGTTCTGATCCATGGCCATGTCTCTCGCGGATTTGCTGCTGCCTTTGTTTCTACTCGTCTTTCTCACAAGATCCCGGTCACAGTGCCCCACAAATCCATCCGCAATCGTGAACGACACACAGGTTCTTCTCTCTCTCCGTGACAGGCTTGGCATCAAAGTGTGGATCGAGACTGCCAATCCAAGAGCATGGCGGGGAGTGGAGTGGAGCTCGGACAACCAAGTGGAGGGCCTCGCTCTGTCCAGGTTTAATCTCTCGGGAGTTTTTCCTGCCACCTGGGCCGAGCTTCCATCGCTGGCTCGCCTGGACCTCTCGCAAAACGGCCTCTCCTCGCTGGAAGTCCCTTGCAAAAATATGCAGCTCAACCTCCTCAACTTGAGCTCCAATTCCCTGCAAGAGTTCCCCGGAAATCTCTCCAGCCTCGAGAGTTTGGAAAGCCTGGACCTCAGTGGGAACTTCTTAACAGTGGCCGGACTCCCAAAGTTTAGCTTGACGCTGCGATCGCTCAACCTGTCCATCAACAACTTAACTGGGAGCTTTTCCATTGGTGGTAACCTGGGACTGGAGGCACTGGAACTCTCGCACAACGGCCTCAGCGGCTCCATTCCAGAAACTTTCGGGGAGATGACGAACTTGACGCGCCTGGACATATCGTATAACAGGTTTAGAGGAGATCTACCCGATATTTGGAGCAAGAACTTGGAGCTCAGGTACATGCGTATCTCCAAAAATTCGCTCCAGGGTGGTTTGCCACCGAGCTTGAGAAGGCTACGCAAGCTCTCGGTTTTACACGCTGCCTACAACTCTCTCTCCGGGCCACTGGAGCTGGAAGATGGCGACTTTGCAAGCATCGAGGTTTTGAACCTCGGGCTAAACGGGTTTAGCGGAACGATCCCGGCTACTCTGGGAGGCTTGAGGAACATCAGAGAGATATGGCTCGACAGCAATAACTTGACTGGAACAATCCCAGGCGAGCTCTCGAAGCTCTCGCATCTCCAGAAGCTGGTTCTCAGGGGGAATCGTTTTAGTGGCGCCATACCTCTGGAGCTTGGAAACTGCTCGAACATCAGAGAGATATGGCTCGGCAGCAATAACTTGACTGGAACAATCCCAGGCGAGCTCTCGAAGCTCTCGCATCTCCAGCTGCTGGTTCTCACGGGGAATCGTTTTAGTGGCGCCATACCTCCAGAGCTTGGAAACTGGTCGAACATCAGAGAGATATGGCTCGACAGCAATAACTTGACTGGAACAATCCCAGGCGAGCTCTCGAAGCTCTCGCATCTCCAGAAGCTGGTTCTCACGGGGAATCGTTTTAGTGGCGCCATACCTCCGGAGCTTGGAAACTGGTCGAACATCAGAGAGATATGGCTCGACAGCAATAACTTGACTGGAACAATCCCAGGCGAGCTCTCGAAGCTCTCGCATCTCCAGATGCTGGTTCTCACGGGGAATCGGTTTAGTGGCACCATACCTCCGGAGCTTGGAAACTGGTCGAACATCAGAGAGATATGGCTCGGCAGCAATAACTTGACTGGAACAATCCCAGGCGAGCTCTCGAAGCTCTCGCATCTCCAGATGCTGGTTCTCAACAGGAACGACATGGGCGGGGAGCTCCCTTCCGGACTCTCCAACTGCACCGAGCTCGTTAGTCTCTGGCTGGACCAGAACAAGTTCTCTGGAAATCTCCCTGACAGCTTCGGGAATTTGAGCCGCCTGCTCGCTCTGGGGCTTTCCAGCAACGATCTTGTCGGTTCAATCCCGGCCATGTTGCAAAACATGTCGTCTCTGCAGTTCCTCATCCTCGAAAACAACAGATTCAGTGGCTCCATACCGGACTGGCTTCCCAGGCTCACGAACTTACGAGCCATGGACTTCTCGGGTAACAGGTTCTCTGGGGAGATGCCGGAAAGCATTGGCCGACTGTTTGCCAACGTCCAGCTTTACAACCAGAACAAACGGTCTGTGATGATTCAAACCACGCGAGGACTCCTCTACAACGGCTTCGCCTACCCGACCTCCATAGACTTCTCCTTCAACCAGCTGACTGGAAGCATTCCAGCTGCCATTGGCGACCTCTACAAGCTCCAGGTGCTGGACCTGAGCCACAACCAGCTAACAGGTCCCATTCCCGAGTCCCTGGGGAAGGCAAGGAATCTCTCCGAGGTGGCGCTTGCGAGCAATCGTCTCAATGGCTCCATACCATCGTCCGTGGCGGACCTCTCGTTTCTCACCATCTTCGACGTCTCCAACAACAGCCTGGTGGGACGGATACCTGACAGCCCGCAACTCTCGTCCATGGACGCGGCTCTCTTCGCTGGGAATCAGCTCTGTGGCTTGCCACTGACCAACACCTGTTCGAGCACTGCTATGCTGCCACATAAGCCTAGAACAGAGGGACAAGGTGGTAGCGAACAGGACCAAAGAGAAGTGACAATTGTCAGCGTTGCCATCTTCGTGGCAGCCTTCTTCAACGCGTTCTTCTGGACCTACTTTGCGGCAAACCACAGAGCTCATTCCCAGCTCTGTGGATGCTGGCAATCAAATCTCTAGCTCGTCCACCATGTTGCTGCCGTCCTTTCTACCTTTCAGTTTGTAATCGACCGCTTGATGAAGTGAACTCTTCTTATCCGCTTTCAAGGCCGCCTCCTGTATAGTCTTGAGCTTATCATGATCCTCCCACAGCCCCGCGCTCCGGTAGATGCTCGCCATCAGAACGTACGCAGCCGAGTCATTCTCGTCGATCTTCGTCAGTGCCTCGAACGCAATCCTCCCCACTTCCACTTACGGCAGGCCCCGAGGACGCTCCTCCAAACCGCAGCATCCGCTCTCAAAGGCATGCTCTCGAGGACTTTCAAGGCCTCTTCCACTCGGTTACGAGATCCACCAAGCTGCTGTAGTGATGAATCCCGCAAACAATGCCAGAGTCCGGGTCCATTGCCTGGAAAAACTCCCTGCCTCGTTCAACTAGGCCGCCGTGGCTGCAAGCAGTGATGACCGAGACAAACGTGATTGCGTTTGCTCGCACGCCATCTTCTCGCCTCTCGCGAAAGGCTTGGAACACGCGCGACGTGTCACCTTGTTGGCCGAATCCCGTGATCAGTGCATTCCAGGCGACGATATCTCGGACTGCCAGAGATCCAAACAAGTGCTCGGCCGCACTCATAACTCCGCATTTCCTGTAGAAGTTTACTCCCCACAACTTGATCGTCCTCCAGCCCACGCTCACTCTCACCGTTGTCTATATATCTCTGTATCAAGTTCGTCCAAACGACAACGTCCCGTCTAGGCATGCGTTTGAAAACTGCTCGAGCTTTCACCATATCTCCACACTTGGCATACATGTCCACCAAGCTGCTCCCGACAAATCTGTGCTCGCAGCGTCCAAACTTTGCGGCGAGAGAATGAATCTCCATCCCCTTTTCTAGGCTCTGGATTCGCCCTATCTTTCCATCTTCTCGCGGAACAGGTGGCTCGGACGCTGAAAGGTGGACGCAGGCCATGAGCGCAGCAACAAACGTTCTCTCGTCCGGATCGTTCTCCCGAGACATACCGAAGAACAGCTCCAAGGCCAGCTTGCTGTCTCCACTTACATCGGCCAGCCATGCCATCGAAGACCTTGCGAGCTTCCTCGTACCTTCTCACACTTCGCGTACATATCGATCAGAGTGTTCCCCACGAACACGTCCTCTCGAAGAGATCCAGAGCCACATCGCTCTCGCCATTGGAGACGTAGCCCAGCATCAAGGACATCACGTTTGGGTGAAGAATGCTGTCGAACACGCGGCGGGAATCCTCCATGCTGCCGCATTTCTCGTCCACCAGCGCATTGACAACATGGATCCCCAGCTGCTTGCTCTCCGCCGCCTGGGCGTGGATCGCGCAGGCGCAAATTGCCCTTGCGCAAATCCCTTGTGACCTTCAACGCCGACACCTGCTGATCGGGCGCCCGCGGCGGCGCTGCCGAAGGAGCGAATGCTGGTGCGGCGCATCGAATCGCTGCCGTCGCCAAGTCTCATCCATCGCAAGAACCCTAAACATTTGCTGGAAATTCAACCAAGGCCGTCGATTCAAGAATATCTGACGGTTGGAAATGAATCGGGGACCGGAAAAACCTTGAGGTACTCAGGAAAAATCGCCCTGTACAACCCAGCGTAGCCTTGGGTGCGAACAATGTGCCTCGGCGCGCTCGCAATCCCAGGCTTGTAAGCCGGTGTCCATCTCCGGTCGCCCTCGAGTTAAGTCGATTGGAAACACCGCTGAAAACAGGAACTATGGCGATCAAGCGTAATCGCTCTTAAGACTCTTACCTGTTGAGGCAGCGATTCCTGCTACTCCACCGGAGATCAAGCTCGTCACCATCCTACTTGGGCCTGAAAGTAAACATGCAACGCCAGGAGGCCTAAGCTTGTCAAAACTGTGTTTACCAATGCGATGGTGCTCTGTGCCTGTAAAGCTTTTCCAAAAATTTCTCACACTCTGAAACAAAAAAAAATCCAACTTTGAGCGTTCCAGTAGTTGTAGAGAGTGTCATACAAGCAGAAGTTTATCGCAAGCGTTGGGCCTATGGCAGGAGTCAAGTCTGTGGCATTTGGCAGGGAGGAAAACCAATACCAAAAGCATCGGTCAGAGTTCCTTATAAAGGCTAAGAAAGCTCTCCTGTTGATGGATTGTGGAAAGCGTGTGATAGATGCAGACGCACGGCAACATCTACACGCAAGAGCACAAAAGCTGTCAAGGGAACAACCAACAACAAAGATCACAAAGCTCAAGGTGAGGAAATTTAGGAGAAGACTTAGGAACAAGATCCTGAACATGTAACCACCTTGCAGGTTCCAAACTTACAGTCGTCAATCTAGAGTGTAATGTGAACATGACCCAGCAGGAGCAGTCTCCAGCATCTCCACCGCACACAGCAACACCAACACAACCAGCTCTCAACACCGACACCGACAACATGCTGCATCACTGCGAACACCACAGTTGAGAGCATCCTGAGCAGGAGTGATGCTCGCAAGCCTGAGCTTACACTGGATCTTAAGCTTGGCATTTCTCCAGTTTGTGGACAAAATGCAGTGTCTCCAGCCAACGCCACAGATGCTGATACCAGCAAATTTTGCAAGGCTTTTCCACGACAAGCAGATGAGCATTTTCATGCGAGACAGAGTCTAATCAACACCATTGTCTACCAGCCCCTAGATGTGAAGCTCACAAAGATCCAGAACCATATTCTCCAGCTCAAAAGGAGCATTCGAGGTACAACTTTCTAGGGATTTGTATGGCAAAGATTTAGTGCATGAACAAGGAACTCCCCAAGGAGAATGCAGAGCTTTGCAATGAGATCCAACAACTCAAGGTGAAGCAGTTGTATAGATAGGTGCACTACAACAGAAGAACAAGTTCAAGAATGAGCTCTCTAGAGTCATAGCAGCAACAAAACAGCCCAATGCCATGGAGAAGTGAGAGCTTCATGATGAAACTCAACTCAGTCATGGGAGAAAAGTGGAGTATAAAAAATCAACCTTATATATAGAAACATCATCCTGAGTCTTGAGATTCAAACCTTGAGACTCGAGAACAGGAATAAATGGCAATTGCCCCATGTAGAACTAATTAAAGGGGTGAGTTAACACTCAAACTCTATTCCTTTCTTTTGTATTTTAGCCTTCTGTTATCAATGCACATCCATATGCTTAAAATCTAAAGTACTTATGTGATGTTAAGTTTATCTTTGCTCACAACCTTGACAAAAACTTTCATAAAGATTGAAGGACTTAAGTTATTCCCTTTTTACTTTTTATGTGTTTATTTATGTCTAACTGAAGTAAAATGCAAAATCAAGTCAAAAAAGTGTAAGCAAACATCCACTCCCCTTCTTTTCTCTTTCACTTTTATTTTCTTTTCCTCTTTTTTTCTTTTCTAGTCATATAGACTTTTATCCAAGTTTCTGGGAATGACTTGTTTTAACCTTCAAATGGATAATTGCAAAACACATTAACTTTCAACATTTAGATTGGGATAGATATTTGCTATCTCTTTGGTATATGTATATCACAGAGATAAAAAGTTTTATTGGTGCTTCACTATATAAATTCCTATATGATTATTATTTAATATTGTCAACAAAGTTGAGTTTACCTTTGTGATTGCTATAAGCTGTCAATACTAGGTCTTAGGATTAGTATTTGATGAACATTCTTCCACTTGTTTGAGTGGAGTTTATTGAGCACTTAGGCTATGTACAAGTGGGATAATAACAACACAATAACTTCCATCATTATTTATTAGTGGAATATAAAGTGGATGACTTAATGTTAATCAATTTTCCCAAATGTTACAATATATGGTTTGTCTAAAGGACTCTTTATTCAATGGAAGGGGTTATATTAAGTGTTGTGATAAGTTATATTGCATGTTTAAGGTTTGGCAAAACATTCAATAAACCAATTCTCCAGAAATTATACATGTGCAGTAACTTAAATGCTTTATATAAAGGGATTAGGCACCACCTACAGATCCACTAATGCCTCCTTTTGATATTCCTTTAGATCTTAGCCTGTCAACCTTAAAACCTTAACTACCTTTCATCTTTCTAAAAGAATAGGATGATATGAGGTCTACGTGTATGGCTATGGTGTTATATATAAATATTAGTATAGTGGTATTTTGATAGTCATTGAATTGATTACAATTTAGACCACTCACTTTTGTATATAAACTATGGCTTTTGGGCTAATTAAAATGCACATTTTTATATGCACTAAGAGTGCTACTTAAACTATAAATGAGGCTAGAAAATAAACCCTTTTAATGGCATCTTTCTCAATATTAGATCAAGAAAGTAATAAACAACTCAATGAAGTTATTAGTCTTTATACTTTTTCTTATTAATACTATATACTTAATATACATATTCAATCAATAAAATTCATTGGGAGTAGGTAAAAATACCATAATATAGCTAGTAAATTTTATAAATATAATAAATTTACTTTTAAATAGGACAGAAAAAAAATATAGTTAAATAGAGTATGGATAAAAGCTAAAATACAAGTGATAGAGAAGAAACTATTGATATTTTATCCACTTGAAAAGTTCTTCACCATTTAAGAAATAATAAGCTTAAATAGAATATTAATTATATAGTATTTTAATTCCTTTAGAAAAATTAAATATCCCTGAATTTTATAAGGTGAGAAATTAAAAAGCAGTTGAGGTTACCAAATGGTAAAAAACAAACAAGGATATTCCTAGGGGTGCTTTTCCTCCTTTCTCCTTTCCTCTATTAGTGCTTGAATTTCTTCCCATCAATTTTCTTGTAGATTCAATGTTACCCATTTGGCTCTTCCTGTAGCCTCTTGAGATGCAAAGACATCTATTGCCCTATGCACAAAGTGGTAATCGGCTCCATTGAAATAGTTGTGCCCAAACATGGATCTACCATCATGTTATATGGGTGACCATATAAGATTAATGTCTATCCATGCTAAATAGAAATTATGCCCAACATCCACTTCTATCAAATCTGCAGAGATCCCCAACTCATACAGCTTGTAGAGCCCCATGTTGGTGGAGAATGGCACTAGCATAATGTTGTCATTGGCATCGGAGAAAGCCATATTTTGCAAGAATTGGTTGAAGAGCATTATATTGCCATGCATTTGGAAAAATTATAAGTTGATATGGCTTTTTGTTTTACAGTAAATAAGGAACCATATTAGCTTATAGTTTTTTTAAGTTCAACAAAATATGTAACAAAAGGTAATTATGGATGAAATAATTAGTCATTTGAAGGGTTTTTTAGCATGTAAATCATACTTTTATTGAATTCTTTCGTTATAAAGAAAAATTTAAATAATATGTACTTATTTTTATTATATTTAAATGGGATTTTTGATAATTCATACAAATCTAAACCTTAATTAAATTGTATTAAAAAATTCACATTGATGTTAATCATATTAGTCAAACAACAGTACTTAAGTAATCTAATTTAACAAAATTTAATTAATTTATACACTGTCATTAGTGTAACTAAAAGAACAAACAAAAAGAACTTGTCTCAAAAAAAAAAACCTGTTCTTTACTTTTGTCTTTAAGTAATAGCTTCTAAAGTGACACTTTGAGGAGTAGTGACTTATGTTGTGTAGCCTCCTAGATATCAAGAATATTTAAGATCCTATAATATTCTATTGCAGTAAGAAAGAATAGGGAGTGAGAGAGCACAGGATAAGGACATGATCTGTAGAAAGGTGCTTGCTCACCACCTTTCTGAATTATTAAAAATAGCAGATTAAGATTCTTCTACCTAATCAGACATCCATTACAAACCATGGTCAGCACTCAGACTCAAGAGTGTATGGAGCGAATATACTTGATGGGCCGCCCTAATCACGCGAATGGCGAGGTCCGTGCTCGTGATCAACTCTGGCAGCTCATCGATCAAGTGAGTAAAGATTTTTGTGAAGAAAGAGTTCCTCTAGAGGGTCAATGTATCGCAGGTATGCCCTGTATCATCTGGGAAGAGTGGCTTCTTGCATTTTCCAGGGCAGTGTGGAAGGCATTGGAACTTCCAAGAGCTCCATCTCCCACAAGAGCATCTCCACTGCCCAAGATCTAAAAATCATGGTATTTGTGTTCCAGCAATCTTAAAGCCTTTGTACATGGATAGCTGGGTTGCTAATAGTTTTTTGGTTTTCTTCCAGGGAAAATGTATTGGAGACCACGAAGCTGGTCTCAAGAAAGTGATGGATTTGCTCCAGCAGCCGCAAAACGTTTGCGCTGTCGGGCACCGAGTCGTTCACGGCGGCGAGCAATTTAGCAAACCAACGCATATAACTCAAGAGGTGAAGAAAGCAATCGAGAGGGCTGTTCCTCTAGCTCCACTTCACAATCCAGCAAACTTGGAGGTAACAAATCTTAACTTTCTTTATTCCAAAAGGAAAAATCCATTTTTTTGTCCCATTTTTTCTCCATTAAAAAGATCACAAAAAATTTCCAGGGAATTCGAGTTGCTGAGGAGCTCTTCCACTGCCCCCACGTAGCCGTCTTTGACACAGCCTTCCACTCCACCATCCCCCGGCCGTCGTACACGTACGGAATCCCCTGGAAGCTGTACGAAGAGCTGGGCGTACGGCGCTATGGCTTCCACGGGACGAGCTACCAGTTTCTTCTTGGCGAGGCCTCCCGCGCCCTTGGAAGGCCAGCGCTGGAACTTAATCTCATCGCCTTCCATCTCGGCGCTGGAGCGAGCATGTGTGCGATCAAGCACGGGCAATCGATCGACACAAGCATGGGAATGACTCCACTCGAAGGTTTAGTGATGGCTACTCGGAGTGGCGACGTTGATCCGGCGATCTGGCCCTTCCTCGCAGCGCACAGATCCATGGGCTTGGCCGAGATCGATGCTTTGCTCAACAAGGAGAGTGGGATCTACGGGCTTTGCGGAGACAAAGATATGAAAGAAGTTGTGCAAGCCGCGGATAGTTCCGACAAGCACAGGCTAGCGCTGGAGGTGTACGTCCACCGTATAAGGAAGTATCTGGGAGCGTACATGGTTGATCTCGAGGGGAAAGTTGACGCGCTGGTGTTTAGCGGTGGCGTTGGCGAGAGGTCGGCTAAAATCCGGTCCATGGTTTGCGAGAGGCTGGAGGCTTTTGGAATCCAGGTTGACGAGGAGAAAAATGGTAAAAGCTTGAGAGAGATCCACAAGGATGGTTCGAGGATCAAGGTTTTGGTGATACCGACCGACGAGCAGCTTTGTATTGCGCAGCAAACTCGCGAGGTTTTGGAGAGTTTGGAAGCTCCGGTTTGTGAGAAGAGTGGGGGATAGGATTCACTAGAAAACTTTGGATGAGCTTGGTTGTAAATAGAATGGATTGATCGAGGTTATAAGAGAACAAAAGTTATCGCTACATGGTCTTTTAAGTAAAACTACTGAAAGCCATACACCTCTACTATAGCTTGATCTCTTCGCTTCGAATCGCAATCATCGACGAATTGGCAAGGAGAACACTGGATTCTTTGATCTTCTCGAGCACCACATCAGCTGCAAGAACCAAGTTGATAAGTTCTTTACGACAAGTTTATGACGTGAGACTGATAGACAGGACTTACACATGATTTGTCTTAGCTGAGTTATCACCATCTGTATAGATCACAAGAACACGGTTGAGATAAAGCAAAGCGATGAACAAATGCCACTTACGGATTTCCAGGAGGGCCTTGTTGTTGTTGTTGCTGCTGCGGCTGCTGCTGTGCCGGATTGTAGCCTCCAGGATTGCTTCCTCCGCCTGGGTTGTATCCATTGTTGTTCCCAGTGTTATATCCGCTTCCCGGATTAAAACCTCCACCTCCGGCACCCGAGGAAGGATTGCTAAAACCTCCCTGGTTTGGATTGTTAAATCCTCCTGGACTGCTTCCTGGACCACCACTATTGCTTCCCGGATTGTTGAAGCCTCCCGTACTATTGCCTGGACCACCACTGTTGCTTCCAGACGGAGTGTTGAATCCTCCTGGACTATTTCCTGGACCACCACTGTTGCTTCCCGGATTGTTGAATCCTCCGGGATTGTTACCCCCGGAGCTAAATCCAGTCGAAGAGTTTCCAGCACCAAACCCGCCAGGATTACTTCCATAGCCTCCACCCGCATTTCCTCCTGGACTAGGAGACCACCCCGGATTTCTACCTTGTGCACTAAAACCACCTGGACCGTTTCCGGGATTCGAGCCAGGACCCGAGTTGAATCCCCCTGGACCGCTCCCAGGATTGGAGTTGAATCCGCCAGGAGCGCTTCCGGCATTTGGATTAAATCCTGGATTGTAGCTGCCACCTCCTGGAGCTGGACTTCCAGCATTCATCGCTCCAGCCGGTGCTGCTCCAACAGCCGCTCCCACTGGTGCTCCAACCGGCGCTCCAAACGGAGATCCACCGGGTGGAGGATTCACCGGAGGCAGCGGCTTAACATTTGGATTCGGCCAAGTTCTTCTGCTAGCTCGACTCCCACCAGCAAACTCGGGACCAACCGGAGGTCCCTTGTAGTTTGGATTCGGCCAGACTTTGCCACCTTTCTTCCCAATGCCTGCGAACTCCGGACCGACTGGGGGACCCTTGTAGTTTGGATTCGGCCATACTTTCCCCTTGGGAGTCTCGTAGATCGGTGGAGGACCTTTGTAGTTTGGATTCGGCCATGTCTTGCCACTGCCTTTGCCACCGCCGCCCCAGACGTACTTTGGATCGTCACCCTTGTAGTTTGGGTTCGGCCACACTTTTCCAGTCCCTCCTTTGCCAGTGCCGCTCACGAAAGGCTTGTCCCCGGGCTTTGGCTTGTAGTTTGGATTCGGCCACACTTTTCCACTGCCTTTGGTGAAGGTCACAAAGTTGTCCTTGCCATCTTCCGGGGGCTTGTAGTTTGGATTCGGCCAAGTTTTCCCACTGCCATACTTGCTGAAAGACGAGCCTCCAGTCGACCACACGTAGTTGTCACCAGGCTTGGGCTTATAGTTTGGATTGGGCCAAACTTTCCCGACTCCTTTGCCACCTTTGAAAGATCCACAGCCAAATGGCTCGTCCGAGACTTTGTACTCGGGATCCATGAGAGGATGAGGCCAGCCATCTCCGTCCCTGTAAATCTTCTGGTTTGGATCGATTCCACCACCAGTGTTCTCGGTCTTTGCCGCTCCATCGGTGCCTGCTGGAGATGGAACTACATCTACCACAGCGCTGGAAGCTGGCGTGGTAGAGCCAAAAAGCCCACCGGGACCCCATAGACTAGAAGAGCTGGAGTTTCCACCGCTGCTAGTGCTGCTATTGCTGGAACTCTCCCACGGCAATGCGCTCGAGGACGAGGAGGAGCTAGAAGAAGGATTCCAAGAGCTCCCAAGATCACTGCCAGATGCGGCCTCCGGTGCCCTGAGCAGCCGAAATCGCGTCCTGGAGAGCTCTCCTCCAGGCCCTAATCGCTGGACCCTAAGACCGCTGCTGCTGGAATGCCGCGAGAGGAGATCCTTGTCGACGCCATTGCCGATTCCAGCCGCGGGCGCTGAAGAAGAGGAGGATGATCGCGCTAGCGGCGGCAGCGGCACGCTCACTACCTGCGCCGCCATAGCACTCACCAGCATTCCTTGCGCATCCACACAGCTCCCACGAAGAAAAATCCCTCTAGGGTTTTGGATAAGGGTTTAACAAGAAAAATATCTAAAAGCAGTATATTCGTGTAGTGTTAGAGGATATTCTAATTGGAGAATATATTCTTTAAAGGAGTGAGCTTAAAATAATGATTTCTTGAAGTACGTTTTTGAAGTGTTTTGCCAGAGTTTATGTCTAAATGAGAAAGGACAATCTTTTGGTGTTCAATGGCATCCTTTCTCTCACATTTGTATATAACTACCTGTCATATCCATAAAACAGTAGTAGTATCTACTAATGGTGGACAGACTAGAACATATCTCACTTGAGAGACTATTTTCTTAGACATTTTGTTAGGGCAATTTGATTGCAATCTATGGTATATGTTCTTTCATGCCTTATATCCATCAATTCAGAGCCCTCACTCACCAAAGCATGGGTTTCCAAAAACCATAATCTGTGTTTTGGATGTATCCTGGCATCCTCACAAAATAGTGTGTCAAAAAGCACTAAAGTGTTTATGGCATAAAGGAGTAAATAGAGGTATAGGCTATCGATTTGGTTTCTCCTCTCACTTTATATAGTAAAGAGAGTGAGAGAGAGTATTACACCTATATTTGAACATGATTATTATTGAAGATAAATTTGCAGGTTGATAATTTTTGCAGCTTGACTAACTTGTAAATTTTCACAATTATTTTTCTTGATGAAAATTAGTACATTATCAGGGTATCCATTTTCCAAGAGATCTATAACTAATTGTTGCTAAGGTGAATTATTGTTGGAGGAAATGTGTCAAATGCTTTAATAGAGATATGGTAGTCAATACAGGTCAAAACATGCATAGTTTATAGGACATACCTAGTTTATAAGACCATAGTTTATAGTTTATGGAGCAAAACTTATATTTTAAGGCTTTGGGCCACTAAACTAAAAGATAGACCAATAGAATAGTCTTATAATATCCAAAATTCTAATGCTAAAACTAATACATAAAATAAACTCAAATGGAATTTGGCACTTTTCCAACATATGAGTGATTTAATTTGACAATGTGGTATTTCACCAACTAATATGATATGGAATTTGGGCTTAGATTTAAACTAAAGGTAAAATAAAGAGCAATAGATAAGCTAAACAGTATCTCAAGTGGTAAATTTGACTTTATTTAACTTCATTTTGTGTGTTGATTTGGCTTTAGGATTCTGAATACTCTAAGATTTTATTCACTTTGAAAGTCAGGTATACATGTTTAAGGGTTAGGTTTTGTTTTATGGTTATCCTATAGAGTAAAAAATATATGTGTTAACACTTTGATAAATAAAATCAAGAGGAAGAAATTACAACTAAGTTATATATAATTTGATAACACTATAAAGAATGAAAAAATAATAAAACATTTTTCACCTTATATATTGCTTTTTGGTTTGCTTAAGCAAACCTGTAAGGGGATTGGGATGGTAGTGGATATACCTAGAATATACTTGGATATCTAGGATATTCTACCATCTAACGGTTGTTATTCATTTAGATTAATTTTGTATTTATAATTTAAAAACTTTCTTAAACACTTTCTAGTATATTCTTTTTTATTTTATCATCTAATGGTTGATATACAATAAGATTAATCTTGTATTTATAAATTACAAACATGCATATAATTATAAACTTTTTTGATCAATTGGATTAATAAGTAAAAATAACACTATTATTAAGAAAACCAAGTGTTGCTACATACAAGGTGTAGCAATTTATTTAAGGTTTGAGGTTTAAAGTTTTATTTTGTTATATAAATATGTTAATTAATTAAGTATTTTTATAAGTAAAATAGCATTTTTTCTCTTTCATATTAAGTAGTATATATAAGAATGACTTATGTACATGATAATTTGTAAGCAAAGAATTTAACAGTAATATGATTTACATAAAGTAAACAAACTTTTAATCCTTTATACACTATAGTTATTGTTAATTAGTATGCACTTATAATAACAACTAATACTATATTTATTATTATACTGTCTACAAGAGAAAGAATAGACAATTAAGTGAGAGAGTATGAGTATGTTGCCACTAGAAAAAGGTAAACGAGGGCCACTGCTGTTGCCATTACTTCTCACAACTCATAAGCCACATGGACCCCTCAGATTTATTGCCACACCAAAGGGTGCCTCTCTTTTATTATTACCTACTTTCTAATCATAGATTCAACCATAGCAAGGGTTGAATGCTGTTATAGCTCTTTCCAATCCCAAAAAGAAAAGCTCTAGTCTAGTTGCTTCACCTTAGAAGTGAAGCAAGTTGGCAAATAGAACCATAGTTACAAACATGAATATGAAATATGAATATGAGCCTTAGATTTTAGGAACCTGACCATAGAACACAATCATGGCTCACAAATATTCTAAGAATTTTCTATTTTTAATTCTAGGAAATACTAATTTTTATTATATATAAACTATTCAAACATCCTACAAATCATTGTTATCTTCAACCTCACAATCTTTGACATTGTCTCCATCTTCCTCTTCCTCTCCTGACTCAAGTTTGTCTTTTGAATGAGGAATTGTTTTTAGTACTTTGTAGTTCACAAACTTGTCATAATTATAGTCATTTTTGTAGGTTAACAACTTGCTATTACAAGCCATGAAAACCAAATCTACTGTTTTGTCCACAATAAGTCTATTCCTTTTCTTTGAAGACATATGCTCAAAAGTTTTGAATAATCTCTCTACAAAGGATGACAAGCATGCCTGATTTTGAACTTGAATGGCCAACTTTTGAAGAGCTGGAATTTCATAACTATAATCTCCCACCAACATATAGCTCCCTTCTTAGTGTGATCAACCTTACCATCAATCAAGTTGAAAATGCCTCCTATCCTCCTATAAATTTAAAGCTCACCCTATATCACATCCCTCTCATTGGATGTAAACATGGCCAATATATAAGCATTCTAATCCTTCATGACTTCTTTGTTGACATGTTTTTCATGCTTTTGAAACTCAAGGTCTAGCATATATGCCATTGAGTGTATAAATGAGTGATACTTATACCACCAGTTAAACATGATTTGATGAAGTTCCCTATACTTGCCATAATCTGACTATCCTTTCTCTAAATTTGCATCCAACCTATTCATACACTCATATATTTTTCCAATCATAGGTATATCATCGTCCACAAGATGAAGTAGCAACATAACATCCTCACCCACTTGTCTGTGTATATGGTTACACTTGTTTGCTCCCATTGCTTCCTTATGGATGCCATCTTAACATCAATGAATCTTTTCTCTTTCAACAAAAACTTCTCCCAAAGATCATCATATTTTGGTGGTGCATAATGCAAACAATGCCTAGCAACTTCTTGGATCATGTTGAGGAAGTAAGAGGACTAAACCTTCACAAATGGAATCATTGTTCATTCTAGAAAAATTGCCATATCAACTTGGGGATTTTGATATTTATTGGATTAGTTTCAATCTGAATATAAGTTATTTCCTTATTTCATGCACTCACTATATATATACATATATGTATATATGTATATGTATGTATATATGTATATATGTATATATATGTATGTATGTATGTATGTATATATGTATATATGTATATATGTATGTATGTATGTATGTATATATGTATGTATGTATGTATGTATATGTATATATATATGTATGTATGTATATATATGTATATATGTATGTATGTATATATGTATAGTGAGATCAAGGTGTACATCTACAATGCTATATAAGCATAGTGGGATTTTAATAGCCATTAAATTAGTTTCAATTTAAACCACTCACTCTTATATATAAACTAGGGTTTTTGGGTAAATTGAATATGCATATTCTATTTCTATATTTTATGCACTCTGGTGAAAGTGAGTGGCAATTTTGATTATCCTTAAGGACTTCCTAGATTTATGTTTTTTATTTAGATTTAACTTTTGCATTATTTAGATCTCTCTTGTTCCTATAAATTTTTCATTTTTTTGTTTTTGCTTTTTCAATTTTCTTTTTGTTCATTTACAATGTACTTTTTCTTTAACTCTAGAGCTATATGTTATATCTGACTAATCAAACTTAATTGATAGTGATGTTTATGGCACATGTTGCAACTCCTCCTATTCTTGCAAAACAATAAATAGAATGATATTAAACAACTTAAATTAAAAACTTGGAACTTCAAAATGCCATCATTGTGTTCTATTATCACTTGAACTCATATGAACAATTGAGATATAGAGAAGTTTTGCATGTATGTTTGAAGAATCTTGAGCAATGAGGTTTTTATCAAACAGCCTAAGCTCAACTCTCCAAACCCTAAAAACTTTAAATAACATGAGTGAGGATCATGTTTGTGGAAAGAGTCCCAGCTTTGAGGAAAAGTCATGAATGCAAAAGCCCCAAACTTGATCCATGTCCTAAACTTTAATCTCCTAGATCTCACTCTTGAGCTATTGATCACAAAATTAGAGTCTCATTAACTGATAAAATTGAACCCAAGACCTAAGGAGAATATTCACCAACAAATTAATGGAAATGTATATGCCAATAATTTATCTAATTGCAGTCCAGAGAGAGGCTTGGTGGTCAGGAAAATGTTTGTCAATGTTTGCACAGCCAATCAATGTGCGCACACTCAAAGAATGCCACTGGTTATGAGAGGGAGGACCACATCATGACAGCTGTAGAAGTAAAATTCCATTACGTGGCCATGCCAGAAGATTTTGAAAACTCATTGCACATACAAGCTGTGACTGAAAGCTAAATCACACACATAGTTTGATCCTCAAGTCATATCTGGTAAAATTAAAAGTAGAAGACTAAGCCATCTCAGCAAAAAAAGTGACGTCATTCAATGTATAGTGGACCTAAACATTCCTCTGTGCAATTTCCACTGTTGTGTTACACTAGATAGCCAATCCCTGCCAAAAGATCTTTCTCTGTGATGCTTGGTTTCAACACCCAATCTGCTTTAGAATTGAGATCAGGTGCCATGAAACAGTAGCTACAATGTGACAAAAACTTCCATTAGTTTTTGCTGGAGAAAAGTACTTGCTCCCTCTAGTATTCTAACAGCTGCAATGAAAATGGTGTGAGCTCTTGCCGTCGGCTTGCACTTGCAAGGCCAAAAGTCCATTAGAGAAGAGTGAGAGAGGAGGAAAATATATCACATGTGTTCATGGATGTGTCAAGTGCACATAACACACGGATCACACACACAAGCATTCACTGTAAGTTTCACGAATTTGAGGCAAACTTTGAGATGTTTGGGACAGAATCTGCTCAAGAACTTAGCAGCAGCAACGTTTATGAGCAGATAGTCGTGGGCGAGTTTGAGAGGGAGCTTCTTGAGCTTCTCAGGATGAACGTAGAAAAGAGGAAAGAGGGAGAGTGAGAGAAAACAGTCAGGAGAGAGAGAAGAAAAAAAGCAACTACACATAATAAGGGCTCAATGACAAAGTCGTGGGCATTTGGATTTCAAGTGAAGTTAATTGTGTGGCAAGACGCAAGCATCTAGGAAATCACGTTGAAAAGAAGTTCCAACTTGCCTCAGTGCTGCCCTGGATTCCAAGGTAAGGAGGTGCACTCTTTTATTGATTTTAGATTTAAGGTTGTTCCTAAAAGAATCTAAAGACATTGCTAAAGGTTTTCTTCATTATTTAAAAAGGTGTGCGCATTGCCCATTAGCTAGGCAGATTACTAATCCCACATATATAACAATATATATTAAGACATGCTAGGCCAATCACCTACAACATTTATATATGAAACGCATTATGTTGATTTGTTACGTGTACAATAAATTCCTTTGCAAGAAGAAATTTTTTGAATGGAATTACCACCTGGGAAGCAAATTAGATTGGCTAGTCCGTGAGCCTATAGCAATACCTTATGCCAGAGGATCCAGCAAACCACGACGTTGTAGTTTTGTACAAGTGGGACAGTACCACTTGGCCTTAAATCTCGTCTCGGAGCTCAAGCCAACGCACTGATAATGGAACCATTCCCCTCCTGTGCACTGAAAGAAAACCAGCAATTCTAAGTTATGATCGCGGGATCATGTCATCCGTAAGTTATGTCACGTTACGATCACAAGATCGAGGGATGGAAAACTTACGTTCTCGTTATCGCAAGCGATCATGTCCCCAAACGAAACCTGCGAGGAAGAACACCAAACATATGGACAGGAAAAAACATGAAAACAATACCTGACCACAGATACAATACGTTTCTTCGTTGGGATCCACGGGTTGATCCAAGTCGGGAGCTGGAAGGCTTCTCTTCCTGTAGTTGCCAGGAGGTGGCATGAGCTCGGTGTCCCGATCGCGTTCCCAGTCCTTGAGTTCTAGTCTCTTTCCTGGCGGGACAAAGAAGCTAGACTTCCTTTTCTCGTCGCGCAATGGCAGCATTGGAAGGATCGCAGGCTCGTCTGGTGATATCTTCCCCTCTATAAGAAAAGCAAAGCTTAAGAACAGAAAGAACAACGAAAAGGAGAAAAAATTTCTCATACCAAGCTTGAGATCCTCCGCGAACTGGTTTAAATCCTCGTCTAGTCTCTTCATCTGGCTATCGATCTGACCAAATCATGCTCGTAAGAGAGAACAAAACAGGGAATCTTAGCAGTAGAAGTTTGAAGCTACTTACTTACCAAGTCGTAAGCTTGCTGTGCTAGCAAAACTTTCTCCGTGCAAAGGCTCCGGATATTGTCGTGGTTTGCTTCGATCTCCTTCTTTAGCCTCTCGAATTCTTCCTGCTCTGGCGATGGCTTCTTGATCTGCTGCGTGGGAAGGAACAGGCAAGTCTTCGTGTCCTCGCGTGTTTGTAGCATCATATCTGTGAATCACGCATCATAAGCCGAGAACAAGAGCGATCAAGCACTTAACTGTGTGCTCGCACATCGAGCTCCGTCATTGTGGAGAGATGGCGCTGGACTTCGGCGTGGAGAGAGCTCGAATCTGTGGATCCATCCAATGCCAATGCCGGCGATGAGCTCCGCTGCTATAGGCGATAGAGATTCCAACTTACATTCTAGATAATCGTCCACAAAGACGCCGGTTCTAGCGATCGCCATAGCTGTCTCCTCTGTTTGAAGAGCCCTAAAAACTTGGCAGGGGTTTTATTTCGCATTTCTATTTCATAGGGCAAATGGCGCTCTCGGCGCATTCTCTCCATGGCGCGGCGCTCGGCGCTCCATCCAGAATGCTCGAAGTTCGATCGAGAATCCATGCTCTTCCGAGGTAAACTTCCTCCTAGCCGTTGTTGTTCTCCCACATGTTCTTCCCGGATGGCCTTTAGCTCGATATATTTCAAAAGAACAAAGCTTTCGAGGCTTGCGACGTGCAATGCTGCCGATATGTCTGCGGGATTAGGATCGGGCGCCGAGGAGAATCCTTACGAGGTACTTGGCTGCGATTGTGAAAAATCGCTCACAGTTTTCCTTCTTCCAGGTTCTTGGCGTAAATCCGCTCGAGAGTTTTGATAAGATCAAAGTGCTTTACTCGAGGAAGCACAAGGACGCTGAAAAAAGTGGCAATGAGGCTGCCGCTGCTCGAGTACGTCCTGCCATTCTACTCTTTGCTTGATCTTCTTGCGTTCTTCGCGCAGTTGGAGAGAGCGTATGATAAGATTATGATGTCTCAACTCTCCAAGAGAAAGAAGGGATTGACGTTTGGAGCCGTCGAGGTATGTCGTTGTTTGTTCTTCTCGTTTAAAAATCCTTTCAAAAGGTCTCGAAGAACATCAAATATGCAGACAAGCAACCGCTACTTCCATGGGGTCCAAAGTATTCATCAGCCTTTCACTTGTTTCGGTGTGCTAGTCTAACGCAAATCATGAATTTGATAGAAAAGCTCGCTCCATCAAGAGAGATATCATGATCAACGTTGGCATTTCAGTAGCAATGGTGAGTTTGTGGCTGTATTTCCCAGTCTCTTTCAAAGTTTTGACATAAACTTGTTTGCGCAGTCTGTTTGGGTTGTGATATCAGAGGGTATGGCTGACTGGAAACCTTTGCAAGTGCTTATCTTTGGCTACGTCTTTCAGTTGTTCAATAAGCTCAAGCAGTACGAACCTCCTGATGTCACAGTCTATGTAAGTGATGGTTTTCGAGCTTTACTACTTCGCAAAATATCATAACCAAACACGAACAATCTGTTTCAGGATGAAGAGGATCACAACAAAAACGTTGCAAAGAGTGGAAAGAGACTCCTTCGCACGTTTGGACTTGTTTTCGGGTGCGTCACTGTTGCCTCATTGGTAAGCCATGTTTTTTCCTTCTTTCGTTTTTCGTTTCATGAACGTCGTACCACTGGATCATCAGGTGTTTACTGGTATTCTGAATGGCATCGAGATTATAGGAGCTTCCATTCCTCGCGCCCTGTACAATAGCCAGGTAAGACTTCTTTCACAGTGGTTTCTTGAGAGATACTTTCCTCTTTTTGTCCAGGAAACATTCGTGACCATCGTCTCGGCTGTCCTTATGTTCTTCGTGGGATCATTCTACAGGTAGCATCTAGACAAAGACATGTTTGATTCTGCCGGTTTGAGTGATCGATGATCGATGGTGGTGTTACTGCCAAAATCATTTTTGTGGAATGCCCAGCAAGGAAGAAAGTGTGCTCGCTTTGCCGAGAGTGCTTTGGTGAACTGGAGATTCCAATAGTGGGATAGAAATCGAAGCTTTGGTGTTTGGAGGAGCACCAAACAATGCGATATTCGTTCGCCTTTGGGCTGACATAAAGTGAGACGATCATTGTGAAGCCCCACTTACCATTTTTCTAGATAATCCTTTGTGTCGCATTTACCGTGAAGATCTAACGTCGACCAATGCGGTATAGATTAATTTCGTGGCCTTTCGAGGACGCTAGATGTGGTGGTCAAAGTGATAGAGATTCCATTCGGGAAGTCGATTCGCCCCACAAGAAGCTCGATTGCGATCAATTTACAAAGAAAAACAAAGGTGGTGGTGGCACATTATAGATTCCCCCAAATATTCCAGCGCCATGATCATGGCCGCTCCCACTAACTCAAAGCACGCGCTTTTTGCCGCTCAAACACGAAAGAATGAGAACGATAAAAGAATCAAGAAAAAGAGGAAGGGTATCATGTTTAAAAGTTTTTAAGGGCTCGGCATTCTTTCTTCTCTGGCGTGGAAGAGAGAGCGCGCCTTGGCGCAGGCACGAAATATTTCGATCCGGACGGCACGTCGATCGCGATGCTGCGGCGGAGCTGATCGATCGATCCATTCCGGTAAGCGCGCTTGTCCAATCCCATCCGGTTTCGTCTCTTGATTTCATGTCCATCGACGCGATCGTTGCATTGCCCTGCCTTCCCTCGCGTCGTCTTGTTCTTCCGGTCGATCCACGGACGCAATGCTGCTTTCTTCTCTTCTTCCTCGAGCGTTACCCTAATTGTAGCTTTCGTTTCCCTCTTTTCGGTTGTTTTTGATTCCCTGAGTGAGGAATGCCGTGCCCGGATTTCTTGTCCGTGGCCGAGAGATGCATGACTTACGGAGTGGACATTCTTGGTACAAGATAGCTCCACTGATGGATCGTTTGCTCGTGTACGCCATTCTCTTTGGTACTACACACGGTAGTACAGCCAGCTTGTCTCTAGAGACTTTATGCACGAGCGCTTGTGCTTCCTGGTTTAATGCAGCGATTTCTTTTCTTTTCTTCTCTGCCAGAATTCTGAAACTTACAACAAAGAAGAGATAGAGTCTGATGCCACAAGTTTTCAAGTTCCTGCGTTCTAGATATCTTCCACCCGGGTTTTATGATCGGCTCCAGCAGCAGTGTCTAGCTCCAGGCATGATATGGCAGTCCTGGAGGTCCGGAATTTGCAGAATGGGAACTGCTCGGCTTCTAGCAAGCAAAGCAAATCTAAGCTTCTGCTCATGTCTATGTTGCCTCGTTACCCTTCCATGCCGACTTATCCCCCCTCTCCACCTCGAAGGGACATCGATGCTTCAGAGGTTCGTGATGTTACATTCAAGGTGGAGGGTATGGAATGTGCTGCTTGTGCAGGCTCGATTGAAAAGGCAATCAAACGCCTTCCCGGGATAAAAAATGCAGCTGTTGCTGCTCTCCATGCAAGAGCACAGGTCATCTATCATCCGGCCTTCGTTGCTGTAAGTCTTGCTTGTTGATGTTTGAACCGTGGCTGACAAAAGCTGTGCTTCTGCAGGAAGAAGCTATTCGTGAAGCTATCCAGGATGCTGGATTTCAGGCTTCGGTCATCGAAGACCATAGCCACCAGAATGAGAGCAACATTTGCCGGGTTCGCATCAAAGGCATGACGTGCACAGCATGCTCCACTTCTATCGAGTCTGCTCTTCGGAAGATGGCGGGGGTTAAGAGGGCCGTGGTTGCTCTTGCAACGGAAGAGTCCGAGATACACTACGATCCCAAAGTTGTGAGTCACGGGCTGCTGATGGCAGCCATTGACGACGCCGGGTTCGAAACAGAACTGATTAGCGCGGGAGAGGACAGGAACAGAGTTTACTTGCGTCTTCAAGGGGTTCACTCACAGGAAGCTCTGAAGGTTATCGAGATCTCTCTCATGGCTCTACCGGGCGTGAAGTCAGTTGAATTCAACGCCATTGAGGAGCGCTTGATGGTTTCATATGATCCCGACTTAACCGGTCCAAGGTGCTTCATCGAGGTGATCGAGCAGACCAGTCCGACTCCGAATCTATACAGAGCGTCTTTGTACATGAATCCGGGGGAAGGATGCCCGGACAGAGTCGAAGAAGTCAGACGGTACCAGAAGCTTTTCTTGTGGAGCAGTGTATTCAGCGTGCCGGTCTTTTTCCTCTCGATGGTCTTCATGTACATTCCAGTTATCAAAAAGTGGCTGGACATGAAGCTGGTGATGGTGCTGACTGTTGGAGAAGTTTTGAGGTGGGCATTATCAACGCCAGTCCAGTTCGTTATCGGCTGGAGGTTCTACGTCGGTGCTTACAAGGCTTTACAGCATGGATCAGCTAACATGGACGTTCTGGTCGCCATGGGGACAAACTCGGCTTACTTCTATTCGGTCTATACAGTCGTGCGTGCCGCGACTTGCCAACACTTTCGGGGGACAGATTTCTTCGAGACAAGTGCCATGCTTATTTCATTTATTCTACTCGGGAAGTACCTGGAGGTTCTCGCCAAAGGAAAGATGTCCGAGGCTATAGCGAAGCTCATGAACCTGGCACCTGATGTTGCTGTGCTGCTTTCGGTTGACAGCAATGGGAACGTCGTTTCGGAACGCGAAATCAGCACCCAGCTCATACAACGTAACGACATCATCAAAGTCGGGCCCGGTTCCAAAGTTCCTACAGATGGAGTGGTCGTGTGGGGACAGAGCCACGTCAATGAAAGCATGATCACCGGTGAAGCTCGGCCTGTGACAAAACGTTTGGATGACAAACTTATAGGTGGCACTATGAACGAAAACGGTGCTCTACGGATGCGTGCAACTCACGTCGGCTCGGAGACTGCACTTTCTCAGATTGTGAGGCTTGTCAAAGCTGCTCAGATGGCGAAAGCGCCAGTGCAGAAATTCGCCGACAAAATCTCTCAGTTCTTTGTTCCGATGGTAAGTATTTGATTTTCCTATCTTACTCGCGCTTACCTTAACTCTGCCTTTGCAGGTGGTAGTAACAGCTTTCTCGACTTGGATGGTATGGTATACCGCTGGCAGAGCTCGAACTTATCCAAGGTCTTGGATTCCGTCGTCCATGGACGAGTTTGAGCTGGCACTCCAGTTTGGAATATCGGTACTGGTGATTGCTTGCCCCTGTGCTCTGGGCTTAGCTACTCCTACTGCTGTTATGGTCGCCACTGGAAAAGGTGCAGCCCAAGGTGTTCTAATCAAAGGTGGCAATGCATTAGAGAGTGCACAGAAGGTGGTTATTCACAGACATTCTTTCTTCTTTCGAGGGAAAAACTGAAACCACAGGCTAGTAATACACATTGCTGGGTTTTCTTCTTTGTTGTTCCTCTTGCTTCTTCTTTTTCGTTTTCTTTTTCTCTCTGCACTTTGCTTGAAACTAAGACTAATACTTGTTTGTGATGCTTCAGGTGAAGTACATCGTCTTTGACAAGACCGGAACACTCACCAGCGGAGAGCCTGTCGTGGTTGGCACCAAGCTTTTCCAAAACGTGGCTCTCAAGGTCTTTTTTGATTTGGTAGCTTCCGCCGAGGTACTCTTATCATACTTTCTTATATCTCTCACGTATATATCTCGTTACAAAACAGGTGAACAGCGAGCATCCTCTTGCGAAAGCCATCATCGAGTACGCCAAGTCGCTGCAAGGCACGGGCTGCAAAGACCTCCTTTGGCTTCCAGAAGTGAAGGACTTCAAATCCATTGCGGGACAAGGAGTAACGGGAGAAGTGTCCGGGAAGCGCATCTGCGTGGGAAACACGAGGTTGATGGCCGAAAACGGGATCATGGTCTCTCTAGACGTAGCCGAGCAGCTCAAAGAGACCGAAGTCATGGCAAGAACAGGGGTCCTGGGAGCTATAGGCGGGGAAATCGTCGGACTCATCTCCATCGCGGATCCAGTAAAGCCAGAGGCAGCAGCAGTCATCTCCTACTTGAAGTCGATGGGAATCCACAGCTTGATGGTCACTGGCGACAACTGGGGGACAGCCAGAGCCATCGCTCGCGAGATTGGGATCGACAACGTGATCGCTGAAGCACAGCCCAGCGTCAAAGCCGAGAAGATCAAAGAGCTCCAGGTAAAAGTTCTTTGCATTTTTGGAGAAGAAACTCTGGATCTCTTGCTCGTTCCAGGCGACAGGGATGGCAGTAGCGATGGTGGGCGATGGTATCAACGATTCCCCGGCGCTGGTGGCCGCGGACGTGGGCATGGCGATTGGAGCCGGGACCGACATCGCGGTGGAAGCGGCGGACATCGTTTTGATGAAGAACAACCTCGAGGACGTGGTGACCGCCATCGATCTCTCGCGGAAGACTTTCACGAGGATCCGGCTGAATTACCTGTGGGCTCTCGGCTACAACGTCTTGGGGATTCCCATCGCCGCGGGAGTGCTCTTCCCGTGGACGGGGTTTCGCCTCCCTCCATGGATCGCCGGCGCTGCCATGGCCGCTTCCTCGGTCAGCGTCGTGTGCTCGTCGCTGCTACTCAAGAACTACAAGCGCCCAAGAAAGCTTGGCTGACTTTAAAGAAATTTTTAAATTGCCGAATATTCTTATATACCTTTTTCTCTAGAATCTTTTATGCTTTGAATCATTCTTTGGGCAAATATTTCTAGGGTTCTTCGTCCACCATGGACGTGGCGAGCAGCAATGCCGCGCTCATGCGGCGGATCGTGCAGCTAGAGAGTGGTAATCTCTTGTAATTTCACACCTTTCTTCTGATGGATTGAGCGTAGAGCGCGATGAGCTGCGGCGGGATGTGGAGGCCCTGTGCATGCAGCAATCTGGAGAGCGCTCCGGCGGTGATTTTATGTCTCGGTTGCAAGCTCGCAGGTCAGATTTCCTCTTCTTGTTGTCTCTCTCATTCAATTGATCCCTGAGATTTTTCCTGGCCAGGCTTGCTGGATTGGAGCAGGAATTGGAAGCTTACAAGAACAAAGTGTCGGCGTACAAGCGAGAGAATGAGAATTTGCAAGAAGAGCTCTCCGAGCTGTACAAGATCAAGGTTTATCGATTTTTTTTGTCTGGATTTTGTGTACGGCTTTTTTAGACTTTCGTTCTTTTGATTCTTCCGTAGAGTCAAGTGTCGGAGCTTTACAAGAACGAAAGCGAAAAGGTAAATGTTTTGGAATTTTGTTGGTAAATGACATCAATGTTCGTTGGCAGCACAAGAAGCTGGAGCAAGAAATAAAGTTTTTCCAAAACAACATGGCCTCCTCAATTAGTGAAAGGGACAAGCTTCTTCTTGAGGTATGTGCTGAATTTTTATGGTTATGCATTAGGAAACTATTGACGCAGATAGAAAGAATTCAAAATCACGGACAATCACTTGAAGAAGATCTTAAGGCTTTTCGCCGCAGGCAAGTCTCCTGGTTCTTTTCGTCTTCTTCATGCACCGTTGTTTTCCAGGCAGAAGGAAATGTTGCAGGAAAACGAATTAAAAAGCGCCCGTTTGGAAGAAATGGAGGAAAATATGGAGAAACTGAATGCTCAACTGCACGTCTATCACCAGGTTCAGCATGGTGAAAGTGTTGTCTTTGTGACGTAAAGAAGTACTTGACTGCTGAGTTAACTAACAGGTTGTCCACAAATTCTGGCGCCTTCGATCTTCAAGTGAGATGGCGGAAGACACAGACGCGCTTGAGCAGGCGAAATCTCTCGTATCGGATGTAGACGGATCGTGGAGTTTTGGTGAAGTCGCTGAACTGGAAAAGCAACTACGGCACAAAGTTGAAAGCCTTGAAACCACCAATGTAAGCTTTTACCTTGTCTACTTAACGTCTCAGACTAACGTTTTAACTGTCAGGTCTCGTTGGAAAAAGATTTAGCCTCTGTAAAAGCTGAAGCTGACCACTTACGAGATGCTAAAGCAAAGGCGGAGTCCTCCGTTGTCGATCTTGAGATGCGCCTGGTAAAAATGGATGTCGTGATTACCTCAGGGATTTAACTTTGATTTTCCAGTTGAAATTTGGAGTATACCTTGGTAGCGCTATGCAAGAGCTTTACATGTGTCACAGAAGGTTGAAGAATGATGTTTCTACTATGTTTAAGGCCGAAAAGACCTTCCTCGAGGCTACTTTGACTTCTTTTCAAGAGATTGCAGATAAAATCAAGACAGCTGAGACCAGTTGTTCTACAACAGGAAGCCGAATCACGTCGGATACGAGCGACACGGGAACAAGCAGTGAGGTGAAACGAGTTTCTGTTTTTATTTTTCTTTTCAACAGAGAGATTCATTGCAGGTTCAAGAAAACAAAAGTGCGCAACCGGTTGTTAGCCAGGACGCTTTTTTGCAAGCATTACAGGACAAGGTATATAGTTCATCGTTTTTTTGTACTGCCACATAAACGCCTGATAAAATCGTGAACTTTGCTTTAGGTGTCAGCCTTAATGTTGCTCTCGCAGGAAGAAGAGAGGCGTCACCTGGAATGCAAGACAACGGGAGCCTTGGAATATCAGATAGAACAGCTCAACGAGACATTATCCCAGGTTCGAGCTCTAGACTCAATTCTCCAGCCTATGATTAACTTGTTTAAACATGTAGGTGACACTGGAAAAAGTGGACGCTTTGATGCAAGTCGCGCGGCTTAAGTACGAGTGCGACGAGTTGAAAGATCGCGAAAGGTTTATCCCTTTTTTTTTCACTCCATTAAAAAAACTGCTCTTTTTCTCTTGCAGGGATTTATTGAAACGTCTTGAGAAGCCGTCTAGCTCAAACACCGGTGGGAGATTACTACCAGCTAGCTGGGCTGCAACCACAGAGCCTATAGACGTCGTCGAGGAGGAGATTACACAAGAAAAAAAGCAGCCATCGACGACATCGACGAGTTATCTCAAGTCCTGGTTGAGGGGTGGCGGCGGCGGAGAGTAGAACCACACTTTGTCAAATTTTCTTGTACGCATGGAGTTCTCCAGGTAGAGTTTCTTTTTTAAGATCGTATTGTTCTTCACAGGTAGCTAAGAATGTATGTTTCTTTCCAGCGTTTGTGGGAAAAAGTTAAGAATTTCGTTTACTCCCACTCGACAGTAGCGGGAGGTTTCGAAGTGAAATCATAAGCCACACGATTGACTCCTCTAACAGTGTTGCAAATCTTTCCAGTGACGTCTTTCACAAACTTGTTCTTGAATTCATACCTGCAGCCACCAACAAAACAATCGTGAGTTTCAGAGTCTACTGATCGATCAAAGCTCTCGGCTTACGTGTCAGCAGTCATGCCATCTTCGCTCGTTATGGCTCTCAAGATGACGGGATAGGCATGCGTCCTCCTGTCTCCTTGGACTCCCACGGTCTTGACGGGAATCAGAACAGCGAAAGCTTGCCAGATCTCGTCGTAGAGACCCGCCTCTTTTATACTGTTCACGAAGATCTCGTCCGCCTAAATCTCAAAACGTCAAGTCGTCGCTCGAGGGAATACATTTCTTTTACCTGTCTCAGCATCTCCAAGTGGCTTTCCGTGACTTCTCCAAGGATACGCACAGCCAAGCCGGGGCCAGGAAAAGGATGCCTCTTGAGAAAGCTCTCTGGAACTCCAAGTAGTTTTCCAAGCTTCCTCACCTGGAAGGTAGAAGCATATAAATCACAGTACTAAGAAATGGAATAGAAAAAAAAACCAAACCTCGTCCTTGAAGAGCCATTTTAGCGGCTCCAAGAGCTTCAACTTCATCACTTCAGGGAGGCCTCCAACGTTATGGTGACTTTTGATCGTGTGCGAGTGACCCTTTCCACTTCCAGGCGGCGGACACGACTCGATCACGTCGGGGTAGAGCGTTCCCTGGACCAGAAAGGTTGCCGTCTTGCCGAGTTCTTCCTCGAGGTGGCTAGCAAACTTGTCAAACACGGAGATAAACTGTGCTCCGATGATCTTGCGCTTCTGCTCTGGATCGGTGACGCCACGCAGACGTGAAAGAAAATCCGTGCTTGCGTCCACGCAGACAACAGGGAGGTGTAACTCACGCTTGAAGGTTTCCATTACTCGCTCTTGCTCTTTATATCTGCCGTGACACCACTTTAGACAATCTTTTGCCATTAGAAAGCCATAACTTACCTGAGAAGGCCATTGTCCACGAAGACGCAGTGGAGGCGATCTCCAAGAGCTTTGTGTACGAGCGTCGCTGCGACGCTGGAATCCACCCCTCCGGACAGAGCACAGATTGCGTGCTCGTCGGGTCCTACTGCCGATTTGATCAGCTCGATCTGTTCTTCCAAAAGGTCCTGGAGTTTCCAGTCGTCCACCACGCCACCAATGTCGAAGAGAATGCGTCGTAGAGTCTGGATTCCCTTGGGTGTATGAGTAACCTGGATCAAACAAAAACAATGTAAGTAGAAAAACCAAAGAGAGAACGTCAAAGAGAGAAAAAAACTAGTTCTATCCATCAAGAAACAAAAGAGAGAACAAGTACTCTACCTCGGGATGATATTGCAATCCAAAAATTCCCAGCTCGGTGTTTTCGATCGCCGTGATCGTTCCCTGGACACTCTTTGCCACCACGTTAAATCCCGGAGGAAGCGTCACAGCTTCGTCGCCATGGCTCATCCACACCGCCTGCGTCATCATCGCTGGATCGTCCCCATAGAGCTTAGATCCCAGACTAGCACGAATTTCCGTGCTCCCATACTCCTGGCTATCGGCGGGCCTGACCACTCCCCCGAGTTCCTTGACAATCAGCTGGAGCCCATAGCAAATCCCCAGCACCAAGACCTTCTTCTCCCTAACGTAATCAAAGAATCCATCGGGCACGGTGGGAGCGCCTGGCTCGTGGACGGAATGCGGTCCACCGGAGAGGATTACGATCGAGGGCGTGAGCTTGGCGATGGCGTCGAGCGATGCGCCGGCGGAGAGGCAGAAGGAGCACACACCTAGCTGGCGGACGCGGCGCGTGATGAGATGCGTGTACTGCGATCCAAAATCCATCACCAGCACCACATTGTGCCGCGACGCCTCCTCCTCCATCGCCATTGCCATCGCGCCGCGAAAGAAAAAATGCCCAAGGGTTTAGGGCTTTAGAGTAGATTATAGCCGTCAGATTTCTCCATGTCGGTTCATGGCCGTCCGATTTTACACGTCATGCACCACTTGCCATGTCCGATTTCCGTGCCACGTCACAGGACATAAAAACACGACATGTGGCGTTTTGTTGCCACGCAAGCGCAACGTCGCGATGGTTGGGCCGTCGGATCACTGACGTGGCGAATCGAACGGTCACCGCAGCGTTTCGCGCCGGAATGGTTTTTAACTTATTCTTGCCGCGCATTCTACTCTCATAGCGCGATGGCTCGCCCGAGAAGCACGCGGACTCCTCCCTCTCTTATGCGAAGGCGCCGCAGGCGTAGAAGAGGAGTAAGTGATCGATCGATCGACCACAACTTCTAATTCCTCTCTTCTTTCCCTTTTGTGATCGCAGAAACGCAGAAGAAGAAGAAGCCACCGAAGAAGATCCGCGGCCACCAATCCCGACACCAATCTCCTCGACGACTAAGCCGATCGATCGAATGCCTCTCCTTAGAATCCAAAATCTTGTGACAACACCCATCCATCTCCGGATGCGCCACTGTGAATAAAAATTTCCCCCCCATTCGATTCCACATTTTAGGGTTTATGGGGTTTTGCGAGCGATGGCTATGGCGCACCTCGCCAAGAAAGTGCCATTCCTCTGCCGGCGGTCAAGAAGGGCATTTTTCACACAAATTTTCCAAAGGACGCAGGGTATCACTTCCGGATTTGCGCTCTTCCAGGTCTGTTTCTAGAGTTCATCTATCAAGATCAACCATGGTGTGAGTTCTTGCGCGACGCTTCGATCGCTTCTTTCTAGAATTTTATTTTTTCTTCTCAGACATTTTCGCGGCTTTTCAGGTGTTTTCGAGTTCGATCGGACAATTTCTTGGAGGAAGTTGCTCTTCATGCAAGTTCTTCGAGGAGCATTTGGAGCGATCTTTCTCTAGAACTGTGCAGCGGTCGTGAAGGTTTGTCCGAATTTCCAATTTTGCGGCACTGCGTCGAGAGCTATCCTACTCTCGCCATCGCTGGTACTCACAACGAAAGACAGGCCTTGCTCTAGCATCGACCGGTTGGAAATATGCCAGTTCTGGCCCCAAGCGCGAGTCGCCGGCGTCCACGGAGATCGTGATCCTTTGACAACCACGCTCCGGACATCTCCAGCTCCACCTACGTTGGAGATCATCACCAAGATGAACCATTTGTTCCCACGCATCGTGAAACGAATGCCACCCTGCCTCTTGCACTCGACTCTACACAAGATCATCGTAAGTCAGTGTGATTTCATGACTTATGGTGTGCTACCTTGTGTAGATGACTGGGATGATTCCTGCGGTCCTGTTCGCGAGGTGAACGAAGGCCGGCATGGAAAGATCGAAGTGTTGCTGTGGATAGTTGCACCATCCTCCTCGGTAGCTCTTGCGAGCGGGATTTGGAGGGCAGAAGTTCGTGGCGGTGACGGTGATGGAGAGATTGCCGGGACGGCACCACTTTGGATCCTGATGGCACTTGAGCTCGTAGCAAGCTCCACAGGAAGCTCCGTTCTGGAACAAGACGGTGCTCAGAGCGGTGGTCTCCACTCCAAAGCCTTCGTGGTACATGTTGCCATAGCCGCAAGCTCCTCCTGCGAGAGAAGATCGAGCCAAGAAGACACACGCATCACGGTCAGTTCTTCTCTTCGCTCTCCTTTGTTTTCGTTCTTTCTTTCCCAGAGATCTTGTGGAGGAAGTCTTTACGAATCGATGGCTCTTGGCAGGAAAGACGAAGCGAAAGTTTACCCATTGTTCCCGACGCGTCCGAGCCGCCATAGTACGTTGCGTGAGCTAAAGTCCAGCCCTCTGGAATAGCTTGCTTCTCGCGTTCTTGCGCTACTGCGAGAGAGAGGAAGAAGAGAGGAAGAAGAACACAAGAAGCCATCTCCATCTCTAAAAACTCTTGCAAGAAACTCAAATAGAAAGATTAACGGGTAAGAAATCTATAACGGTTTTCATATACTTTAAAATATTATGGTTTAGTACTAAACCTAAATTGTCAAATCAAGAATTAGCATGCTTATATTTAGTGGAAATTAATTTTGATTGTTGCTTTTATTTTTTAGTAAACTTAAATTTAAGCAGGAATTCTCACTATATAAACATGGTTAGTTGGATGATAATTATAAAAAAATGGGTTTAGAGAAAAAGTTTTTTGTGTTTCTGCTAGTGACAATTTTGATTGTTAATACGCATTGTGCTAGTCCTGCTCCCTCAAATCCAGATGCTCCTCACGTGGTTAAATTGACAGATGAAGATTCACGTAAATATAATGCCAAAAGATTTAATTTTTTTCTTAACTTTTTAAATTTTCTTTTTCTCAGACAATGTGAAATGTTGGAGGAGGTGTATTGAGAAACCAAAGCACTGGTGCTGGTATTGGGGATGTTGTTATATTCCACCTGCATCTCCCTCACCCTCTTAAAAAGAAGATTTACCATATTCTAATCTAATTTTTCACACCAACACCTCAAATTTACTGTATTGTGAATTCTTACCATTCATTTCTACCATCCTGATATTCACCTCTTTGTTAAACATTTGACGTTGTTCAATTAAAAAACACTCACACTTGGAATCTTCCCTCTGTCGCGAAAATTTTAAAAATCTCTTTTTGGAGCATTTTGGGCATACTTCCTAGACTTTAGGGCTCATCCATCCGCAATGAATCGGTCCTTTGCGGGAATGGGCGAGGAGTGGAGGATGAATTTGGGGTTGTCGAGGCTCATTGGCGAGGCCATGGCGGTTCCAGCGTGGGAGTATGCCATTCTCTCCACTCTCATTGCGATTGTGCTCCTCTACCATGTCCTGGATTTCCATTTCGTCGGCGACCTCCTCACGGGGCTCAGGGGCGATAAGGTGGAGCTCGTTTATAGCCCTTTCTCTCGAATTGCGGGGCAAATTCTCGCCAAATCCCAGTTCTTCAATCGCAGGTTTGTGAGTGATTTCTTTCGTGTCGATTTGGATGTGAAAACTTTTGTGGTTTCTTCGATTTGTTAGATATTGGCCAACGCCATGGCTTTGTAGTCCACACCTCCAAACAGCGTTTGTGCATTTCCATGGACGGCCACCAAAGGTGACTTACAGGAGGTGAGACGTCATTCTCGCATCTCTTTCGCGTTTTTTCACAAGGATGTATCAGAGAGCTTTTCGTCGCGCCAGATGGAGGCACGACTGCTCTCGACTGGCTCGATCCAGGTTTGTCAAAAACTAAAAAACAAATCTATAAGAGCTTGACTAATATCGTGTCCTTTGCTAGAGTCATCTGGGAGTATCTCTATACAAGAGACTCCTATAGTGATCATCGTGCCGGGACTAAGCAGTGAATCGAGCAACGCTGTAAGCGTGAAATGTTTCCACAGTTGAAGAACTGGACTTTCTCTTCATGCAGTATATGAAGCATTTGGCCCATGGAATGGTAAATCAAGGCTGGAGAGCCGTCGTCATAAACCACAGAGGCCTCGGAGGCGTGACTCTCACCGTAAGCTTTGCGTGAACAGCTTTCTCTTCCTTCCATTTCATTTCTTACTGTATTGTTTAGTCGGAGCGATTCTATCACGCAGGATGGACGAGCGATTTGAGATGGTTTATCCAGGATTTACACAAGCAATTTCCTAAGGCACTTCTTCTAGCAGTTGGCACCAGCCTCGGTGCTAATATCCTGGTACCTTAAGATCTGTGTTTTCTAGTTCTTTTAACGTTGTCATTGGGATTTTAGGTGAAGTATCTAGGTGAAGAAGGCGAGAACACTTTACTTGGTGGTGCAGTCTCTATCTGTAATCCCTGGGATCTTGTGGTGCGTCTGTGTGGAAAAGCTTTATTTCTCATTCTTTCTTCTTTTTTCTTTTTACTTTGCAGGTTTGCGACAGATTTATAGCTCGGAAACCTGTCCAAAAGCTCTATGATAAAGCAGTAGCAACGGGACTTACTGACTTTGTGCACAGGTAAGTCGTTGTTTTCGATGCTGTGAATTTTGGCTACAACTTGGTTTTCCTTTGTGTGAGCAGGCATTCGACCGTGCTGTCAAGTATGGACAACTGGAACTTTATCAGGAAGGTAAACACTTGACGGCTTTCTGATTTTTCATGTTTCTTTTTTTTTTCTCTCCTGCAGTCACGCTCTATACGAACTTTCGATCATCTTTTCACGATAACAGTCGGCAAGTTTGAGGTGAAACACATCTTACTTCTCTCGAACGATTTTCATGAAACTGCATGAAATTCTCTCGTTTGCAGACAGTGGATGATTACTATCGACGGTCCAGCAGTGCTCACCTCGTTGGCTCGGTCGCCGTGCCCCTCCTTGCTGTTAACTCTCGCGACGATCCCTTGTGCACAAAAGAAGCTATTCCATGGGACGAATGCAGGTAAATCGTCGTCCATATTTTCCACTAAACGTTGAATTTGATGGCAACTCCTTTCCAGGCTCAATCCTAATGTCCTACTTGCAGTGACACGGCACGGTGGCCACCTTGCGTACTTTGAAGGCTTGACTGCCAAAAGCATTTGGTAAAATCCGTTTTTTTCGTAGACTTGTTTCTTGATTTATTCTTCTCTATGCATTCCAGGTGGGTTCGTGCTATTGAGGAGTTTTTCCAAGTTATAGTTTCGAGTTCTCCGGTGCCAGTTTCAGAGGTTTGAAAAACGAGAAAAGTTTCATTATAACTTAACGCAAGTTTTTTGTTTGAGCGCTGTAGGATCCTAGTCCCCAGCCAGTCTCAGAACCTTTGCCAGTAGTAGCAGCAGCGGAAGAGCCCTCCACCTCTTGTACAACTGTGGAGCCGGACGTTGCTGAAACGATGGTGCTGAACGAGGAAGAGATCTTTTCCGAGGAATCTAGTCGGGAACTGGAGTTCCAGCCTCGAACGGCTGCTGCAGAGCTAGAATCCTCCATTTCGATGGACGAAGAGGGCCTCAGCATCCACTTGTGCTTGAAGACTCGCCAGGAGATGCTTGCGCTCCAGCGTGCCTTGTCCAGTATCCTTGAAGAGGTAACGTTTTCTTTCTTTCGGTTCCTTACTTGATCTTGGGTGTTTTACAGCCTACGAGTAAGAAGCAGCAAAAACTCGAAGCTTCGACAATTGGAACCAAGCAAGCACTGTTGCTGCTAGCTGTTCCTCTTGTTGGTTCAGCTCTTGCGCTCGGCTTGCGACGAAAATACTTCGAAAAGCTGCTAAGGAGGATCATATAACGCAATATGATAGAATAATCGTAATAATCCACAACTATTGAACCATAGAAAGTACTAAGACGTGACATTCGAATCCTTGCCCCAAAATGCTTAAAGATTTAAAGAACTTGAATCGTAGTTTACGAAGTTTGTACACTAGTGCGCAACATGGTTGAAAGAAGAATGTACAGTTTGGAAGAATCCACATCTAACCTGCAACGAAACCTTTCAGGATTTTGGAGAAACTTTGCGTCCCCAGCACGAACAAGGAGATCCTCCACACAAATCAAGAGCTCCGGTGTTGCTGAAATCTCGTAGTCTCCAGCCATGGCAAGGAAGAACCTCAGGCCATCACAGACACGGCCCAAGTGATTGCAAGCAGAAATAATTGCTGCAAAGGAAACATGGTCAGGAACCACACCTTCCATAGCCATTCTTTGGAACATCTCAAAGGAAAACGTAGAAGTTTGGGCTCGAGCGCCACAGATTATAATGGAAGTCCACGAAATAGCATCCCTATCGGGCATTGATTCAAACAAATGCTCAGCTCGTTCTACAAGCCCGGACTGGGAATACGCAGAAAGCATGGCATTGCAAGCTTCCAAGCTTTTAAATGGCAGATTCTCCAGCATCTTTTCTGACTGCTGGAGACAATCATGCTTCCACGATGCCGTGATAGCAATGGTCCACGATGCCATGTCGAGGTATGGCATCTTTTCAAGCAGAGCGTACAGTTGTGAAAGATGCCCGGCTCGGGCATATGCTTCAAGCATCTTGTTCCAGGAAACGATGCTTCTCACAGGCATAGAATCAAAAAGATGCTCGGCCTGGTCAAGGTGGCCATAGAGAGAGTACGTGGAGATCATGGCCGTCCACGACACAACACTACATTCTGGAATATTCTCAAAAATCTCCCGGGTTGCTTCCAACTTACCCGCTTGTGCATGGCAGGCAAGTAAAGTGTTCCACGATACCGTACACCATTGTGGCATTCTTCGAAAGAGCATATCCGTGTCGTACACATGCCCAGAGTTAGCAAATGCCACTAGCATGGCATTGTACGTCACAATATTTCGTAGAGGCATATTCTCAAACACGCCCCACGCATTTACAGCGTCTCCGTGTTGTCCATACACCGCTAGGAGCGTGGTACACGTCACAAGATCCCTCTCGGGGAGCTCTCCGTACAGTAGCTTCGCGCTGTGGAGATGCCCGGCCTGGGTATATGCCGCAAGCATGGCGTTAAAGGAGACTATGGTCCACTGGGGGAACAAAGAGAAGAACCACTCCACTTTTGACACGTGGGCAGAGTGTGTATAGGCAGACAGCATCGCGGTCCAGGACACAATGTCTTTCTGTGGCATTGAATGGAAAAGATTCTCGGCTTCGGCAATATTCCCAGACTGGGAATATCCCTGAAGCATCAGGTTCCACGAGAGGAGGGTGTGTGCTGGCATGGAATGAAAGAGGATCTTGGCTTGTTCGTGGAATCCATGCTCGCTATACATTTTGATAAGAGTGTTCCAAGTCACGGGCGATTTGTCCTCCATCCCATCAAAGATGTTTTTTGCTTGATCGAACTTGCCATTGCGAGCATAGGCCTGGATGAGAATGTTGCAAGAGAAGAGATTGGGCGCCTCTAAGGCTTGGAATGCGCGCTGGGCTCCCTCCAAATCGCCAGTCTTCCCATACATCTCGATCAGGAGATTGACGAGGTATTTGTTCTTCCGCAATCTATGGCTCCCCAAAACTAGTTTGCGAGTGTGATTTGTTTCAGAGCCACACTGTTTGATGAGTGTCGCCACAGATCCAATCTCCTCACCAGCGGCAACCCCGGGCATTTCAAAAGAAATTTAACAAATGCTTTCAGTACTTACGAAGCAAGAGCAATACCATTATGCTATGATTGAAATAGGCAAATTAGTGGCAAAATGACCAATACAACTTTTGTAATTATTAGATTTATGAGCTCATTAATACACTATTTAACACCATAAAATTTAATATTAAACATTTTTTAAACATCATTCATCTCATCAGTCAAGAAGAAGCTTGATTCCTTTCAAACCGAAACATCTTTCAAAAACTAGTGCCTTCTCATTCCCCTATCCAAGGACATTCATCTCATCAGTCAAGAAGAAGCTTAATTCCTTTCAAGCCAAAACATCTTTCAAAAGCTAGTGCCTTCTCATTCCCCTATCCAAGGACGATAGCAAAAGTGTGGGGAACTCTGCTGGTACCTCCTTTCGACTAGTAACCCAGTTCCCATTATCCTCCAACCTGTGAATGCTCCAAGCTTGCATGTCCGGTAGATAATTCACGTACCAACAAGTGATGCCGGCAAAGCCACTTTGAACCCTCACAATCTCCGTTCCATCCTCCTGTACCTCCGTGTGCAGCGTCAGCTCTTTTATCACGGTTTTCGCACCAGTCGGATCACCTTCACCGACCCAGAAAAACAAGTAGCTCATTTCACAACGGTGAAGCCGCCCGTAATAGGCACACCGCTTCAAGTGGTCCTGCACAGCCTCCCTTGTCTCGCTGGATCTGGTTCCAACCTGGAGTTCCATTCCCTGCTTGGGACCATCCGAGCTCTCCATGAAGCCATCCATCCTCTTCATCCTCCTTCCATTCTCGTCGCTCTCCTTGACCTCTACAAACACAAGGTACTTGTGAGGAGTGTACAGGCTCTGCTCCATTATACACATCAATCCCCGGAAGAACTGCGACTGCATGATGTACTCGGACGGCTGGCCAGACGCATTCAACACCTTGGGCCGCATGAACACCTTCGGATTCATGAAGGCTATCGCGGTCTCATAAACCTCCACAAGAGACTCTGTCGGGGCAGGCAAGGCTTGCAACGGTGCGAACTTGCAGCTCTCTAGTAGCGTGGACAAGAGCAACGGTGAGCTCAACTGAACCTTCCGAGTACCGGCCATCTCCAACACACCGTCGTCAATGGCTTCCAGAACCATGTCCAAGTGATCGACGCCCGCAGATCCGTCAACGCTGTCGATGCACTGGAGTATCACGTCTTTGACGCGGTCAGGATAAGCAGCTACCACTCGAACCATTTTCCCAAACACGGTATCGTTGAACGCATGGGATCTCACACGTCCCTGTTCAACCAGCTGACGCCAATGCTCAAAAGAACGCACAGCCGGACCCTGCTCACGACCAGTCCCTTGCAGAAGGTCGCAGCACCAACCAACAAGGCCAGCGTGCCCGGACGTGATGTCCATTATGCTTTTCGAAATTCCTGAGATTGCTTGGCGATGGTGCTCTTCATCTTCATCACCATCGAATGTTGTCTTGCAAAACAAGCAGCGGTCCCGGAAGTAATCATCTAGCATCTGTGCAACCTGCTGCTGGCCCAGCCTCCATCTTTGCCTGTCAAGTTGCTTGGAGAGAGGGGATGACCAGCCGGAAAGATGCGGGCGAAGTGGATCGTGGCAATGCCGAGGACTCGATGAAGATTCTCGACGGCACCTGGCGTCCCCGATGAGGTAGGCAAGCCTTGGCAGGCCGCACAGACAGAAGCTGTGAAGCCGGTACTTTCCAAGTTTGTTCCTCGTCACAGATTCTCGTTTTGCGATCCTTAAACTCGAGAGAAGGTTGCGAACCGCATAGCCAGTCTGGTGATGCATCTGATTGAGTAGCTGCGCTTCGTCCAGTAACCAGATGACAGGCTTGACATCCTTGCGAGCTGTAAACACGTCAATTACTTCGCTAGACTTTTCCGGTGGCTCGAGCTCGCTCTGGTCGCACACCTTTTCAATCAAACGGTTGTAAAAGTCCTCAGCAGCCTCCCTCTCTTGCTTAGTCTTGTCGTTAGCCAGAGCGACCATCTTATCGTCCATGGTGGTGAGCTCCACCAAGTAGCCTTTGGCACGGAGCTCCAACCCGAGCGCCGTCAGCAGCGTCGACTTGCCCGATTGCCATGGCGCCGTGAGCAGCAGCCAGTTTCCGCTCTCCATCTCAGCCACAATCGAGTCCCGGTCCGGCCAAGGACAGTAGTAGAAACTGTCCAGGTCCACGATTGCGTCGCCAGAAAAAAAGCTGCGCGGAAGCAGACGCTTGCGGGGGCGCAGATGCCTGTCAAGGTCGACATGGATTCCCTCCCGCTTCTTGTTCAAAGCCTGACGCAGCGTCGTAGTGCTTGCACCAGCGGTCGCAGCGCCAGTGATGATGATGGGAGCCTGCTCCGAGAGCCCATCCCCAAGGCCAGCAGAAGCAAAGACTCTGATTTGGTTCATGTCCATGACTGAACAAAACGAAGTTAACAAAAACATCAAGAGTTTATAGCATAAAACTTACCATTGGAGGATTTCAATAGGAGAAGCTTCTCCTCGCGCAGCTGCCTCTTCTCCTCGCGCAGCTGCCTCTTCTCCTCGCACAGCTGCCTCTTCTCCTCGGGATCATTTGTTTGCTGGAGTTGCCCGTCCACCGCACTAATTTGGCCCTCAAGCACAGCAATCTGCTGCTCAACTTCCCGGATTTGCCCGGACAAGCCAGAAGCCGGATCACCTTCCGCCTCCACGTCCATGGCCAAACCTAAGACTCTCGATCCTATTTCACGGTCCAGATCATTAACCTTTAATTAATAAACTCTTCTTTATCCTTGGTTTTTTGAAAGAACCAACCTCCTCATATTGAAAAGATGAAGATCGAACCAGCTGATCCTGAGGTAGAGGAAAAGCAGATTCAAAGATATGAAATATGCAATGGTTAGGCTTGAGTTGGCTTGAGGAGTCTAGAGTGGAGAAATCCAGATTATAGTTTGTGTAAGAACATATGCGGTCATGACTATTTTGGCCAAAGGCCTGGCTTGTAACATGTTGAAAGACAGTTTTGAATGAAGAGTTTAGATTAGAAAACACCCATTGCGACTAAGCTTGAGAATCCGGCTTAAGAAATGGAAGACAATGCAAGTGACAAAGCGGACTGCTAGAATTTCCACAGGTCCCGGGATTACAGTAGAATGTATCACTCTCCAGGGAGAGTGAGCCCCTATGGTCTTAGATCTAAGGGGAAAGAAGAATCCAGGGAAAGTCATAACCCATGGGATCATCATCTAAAGAGGAGCAACTGGATTTCACACAGGGGGCCCGGCAGATTTTCCACGGTTGGGTATTATGTTGTAAAATTATATTTAGGAATTGGAAAACTGTTGGAGATGAATTACAAGGTATTTCCTGGTCGTTGTTGGATTGGCATAATTAGATCGTGGCTGTCTATTGTTTGAAATAAGGGTTAAAGAGTTTGCAAGAGTGAGCGAGGAGCAAGGCACTGGAGTACACTCTTCAGGAATAATTAGAGTTTCTCTACCAATGTGAGTTGGATTGAAACTAATCATACATTAATAATACTAATAATAATATATAGCAACGTAGCCAAAATAAATCCTAAGGAATATATTATAATCAACAGAAGCATTGCTTTTCACCATACAGTGAAAGAACGATCAACTCATTGCCTGTGTGTCGAATAAGCTAGCATGACTGAGGATGAAGTGAAAGTAATCCCGTCTGGTTTAAGTCTTCCAGAACAAAGCCACCGTCTTCAAGTGAGCATAGCTCAGCTGATACTCCCGCTTTGAGTTGGCCACGGACGCAATGACTTCGGCTCTATATCTGGAGATAGTCGAGTGAATTGCCTCCCAATTGCCAGATTCCACAAGCCTTCAGTTCTGCCACGAAAGTTTACCAGCATTCGTTGAAACAGCTCGTCTGGTTCGTTGTGCTGAGCATAGGCAATCAAGGTAGTCCACTATGTTGCTTCTGGGGTATTCGTTTAAAAACTTGACGAGAGATCGTCGCAACGAATAAAACCTTTGCAGCTTGGAAATAGATAGACAAAGCTCTTTGTGTCTTCTTCACTCCAAACAGGCCTTCAACGCAGAAGCAACCGTTTGAGCATCCAGATCACAGCCTTGGTACTTCACCAGAGTAACCAGCTCCAAGGCATCGTCAGTTGGTGCCCAGTACATTTCAGAGCACACTAATCCCGCCGCTTAAACCTCTCAAGCACTCACCGTACTTCCACAAGCTCATAGTCAGAGAATCGTCTTCCTCGGGCTCTTTCTTCTCAGTCAGAGAATCGTCCACTGCAACTGCCAGAAGATTCGTCACTTCGATCCGCCACCTGGGCTTCTGAAAGATCGCATTCCCGCACTGTTTCCTTCAAGATAACATCCATCGCACGAGCAAAAAGCACGCGAGCAGCACCAAGATAGCCCAGAGAAGAAGCTGGAGCAGTGACCACGGCGTCCTCCTAGTCACTGTTACTACTGCCGCGGGTGTCGGTGTGGCCACTGCTGCGTCGCGACCGTCGCAACGATGGTGGTGGTGGTGGCGGTGGCGTCCTCCATGATGGTGACCATGGTGATGGTGGTGGACAACCAGACGAGCTCCATCACCGTGGTTCGATCGAGCAAGTGCTGTAGACAAGCACTCCTGCTGGAGCTGGATCGTGGTGGCGGGCATGATCAAGGAGAGCAGGCACTGGAGCTCGATCACCAGGGAGGTGGCCACGAGCATGAACGAAAGCAGCTGGCGCTGGAGCTGGAGCTGCAGTTGGAACTGGAGCGTCACCTTGAAGAACTGGAGCTAAAGCTGGCGCTGGCTCGTGGCCTCCACAAGCTGCTCGAGGATGGTGGCGTCCATGCGCTGCTTGATGTGATGGAGCTGGAGCTGGAGCTCATGGGCGCCATGCCAGGGCGGCCGTTGGAGGCCCATGATCGCGAGAGACCATAGCTTCTTGATGGACAGAAGCATCCATACCTGACGAAAGCGCGCGTTCCGACATCTCGAATAGAAAAATCCAAGCAATACTACTTTTGCCTTTGTGAAAAAAGAGAACTATACACGAGAGCTGGTTTTTACGCTGTGGATTGCACGGAGCTGCAAGTTGGATCCTCCCCAAAGTCATCGTCGTCGATGGACGCGTCCTGGTACTGCTGATACTCGGTCACCAGATCGTTGAGATTGCTCTCCGCCTCGGAGAACTCGAGCTCGTCCATCCCCTCGCCGGTGTACCAGTGGAGAAACGCCTTGCGCCGGAACATGAGCGTGAACTGGTCGCTCACTCGCTTGAACATCTCCTGGATCGACGTCGAGTTCCCGATGAACGTCGAGGACATCTTGAGTCCCTTGGGCGGGATGTCGCATACGCTCGACTTGACGTTGTTTGGGATCCACTCCACGAAGAAGGACGAGTTCTTGTTCTGGACGTTGACGATCTGTTCTTCCACCTCCTTGGTGCTGATGCGGCCCCGGAACATTGCCGAGGCGGTGAGGTAGCGGCCGTGGCGAGGGTCCGCCGCGCACATCATGTTCTTGGCGTCCCACATCTGCTGCGTCAGCTCCGGGACGTTGAGCGCTCGGTATGGCTGCGAGCCGCGCGAGGTGAGCGGTGCGAAGCCGACCATGAAGAAGTGGAGGCGCGGGAAGGGGATGAGGTTGACGGCGAGCTTGCGGAGGTCGGCGTTGAGCTGGCCGGGGAAGCGGAGGCAGCACGTCACGCCGCTCATCGTTGCTGATATCAAATGGTTGAGATCGCCAACTGCAAGAAAGAGTTGGTGTAAGCCAAAGTTGAACTTGCTACTTCAAACTATTGAAGTTTAGAAAACTGGAAAAAGAGAGAGAGAGAGTTTTCGGAGAACTTACAGGTGGGAGTTGTGAGCCGGAGAGTTCTGAAACATATGTCGTAGAGGGCCTCGTTGTCCAGAACCATGCACTCGTCGGCGTTCTCGACGAGCTGGTGCACGGACAGCGTCGCATTATAAGGCTCCACGACTGTGTCAGAGACCTTGGGCGACGGGAACACGGAGAAGGTGAGCATCATCCTGTCCGGGTACTCCTCTCGGAGCTTCGATATCAGCAGAGTTCCCATCCCTGAGCCCGTTCCCCCGCCGAGAGACTGGCTTACTTGGAATCCTGCAGAGAAGAGAAGTAGATTAAGAAACTTGTTGTTCTTGAGAATCGCATCGGTACCTTGCAGGCAATCAGCGCCTTCACACTCCTTGCGCACCACGTCCAGCACGGAGTCGATAAGCTCGGCGCCTTCGGTGTAGTGGCCCTTGGCCCAGTTATTCCCGGCGCCCGTCTGGCCGAAGACGAAGTTATCAGGCCGGAATATCTGTCCATACGGCCCCGACCGAACGCTGTCCATTGTCCCAGGCTCCAAGTCCATGAGAATCGCTCGAGGCACGTAGCGTCCGGCACTGGCTTCGTTGAAGTAGACGTTCACTCGCTCCAGTTGGAGGTCGGACTCTCCGTGATAAACTCCCGTCGGCTCGATCCCATGCTCGTCACATATCACTTCCCAGAACTTGGCGCCAATCTGGTTACCACACTGGCCTCCCTGTACGTGGACAATCTCTCTCATTTCTTCTGTTTGCTTCGATCCAGCTGAAGGACCTGACGACACTGCGGTAGTTCAGCTGTTGGTCTATACCGTTAATGTCGTTGTCACCAGAGAAAAACTACCCCGAGTAACAGTTTTCTCTTATTGCCTTAACTGTTTTATTTGCGTATAACCAACCTGTATGTAACCATGTGAGAAAGTGAGGTGATTTAAATCGAGCGAACCTTTAAGACAGAGTAGGCTCCTCGCCATGCTACGAGTACCGAGTGCCTTTCCTGCCAGAAAGTTGTATCTTGAACCAACCTGCAATGTACTTGAGCAGTTTAGACACTGAAAAACTAGTGTCTAGGCACCTGTGTTTCGTAGCCTTGAGGAAGCTGATTTATAAAATCGTGTGCATTTGAAGTCCTGGCAGCCTCCTTGTTCGCATCATCTTTGCCGTAAAGTATGTTTTGCGCGATGGTGGTAGCGAACAAAGCTGGTTCTTGGTTGACGAGACCAATCTGTGACCGGAGCCATTTTAATTGTAGAGATTTGGTGTTGTAACCATCCAAGAGAATTTCTCCTGTAGAAGTATAAAACTCAGAAAAGAAATATAAATTCACCTGAACTTGTGTCATAAAACCTTTCAATGAGAGATATTATCGTGCTCTTCCCCGAGCCACTGGGGCAAACAATGCCTATCGATTTTCCAGGCGGTATCTTGAGGCTCAGGTCGTGAAGAATTCGAGCATCTGGCCTGGAGGGATAGTTGAAGGTAACTTTATTCATCTCAAGCTCTCCACGGACGTGTTGAAGACAAAATTCCGTTGACTCTTCACTGTTACTGATCGTATTCTTGTCGTCTAAAGTTTCGCACTATGAGAAAAACGTTTAGCATCAGAACTCAAAACATAGTCGATAACAGTAACTTACAAGGCGCCTAAGAGCACGCAAAATATTGTAGATAGAGCACTTGTCGTGCCGTTTCTTACGAGAATGCCACCGTACCACATCAGTAAGGCCCAGGAACACAAGGGCAACGTGCACATTGCTCCCATTCCAATCCCTTTGGCACGTCCTGCTCGATCCCGGACGTAGCGTAGAACCGAGAGCAATGGTGTACAGACCGATCGTTGTTTGCTCGCCAAGGAACGAACAGACTCTCCGAATTTGAGAAATTGCCTGCAATGGAGGTACTTTCGATTAAAAAGATTTGGTCTGGAAGTCTACGTACTGATGTTCCTTCTGGCTCCTGGATGAAACGCCAGTGATGACATGAGCATAGAGACCTCCAGCCAGAATGACCACCGGTACGGCTGCCAGCCTCAAAAGTCCGAGCTGCCACACAGTTCCAAATCCCATCCAAAAAACGTGGAATTGTGATGAATGAGGACTCCCATCTATGAAAGCAAAAGAGAGAGAGCTTACTTTCTCGCTTATGGCCTGCTGAATGACCAAAGTGTTGGAGGAAATGCTGCTAACGAGCTCTCCAGTTCTCGCATCGGCACCATCGAAGAACGAGATATCGTGCCGCCGATCCTGATCTTCCTGCATTGCTGCTCTCCGGTCTGGATCCAGCACGCAACACCCAGAGCCAAGAATCCCTTCAAATGTGTCAAGAACAAAATCCCTCTACCTATCCAAGACCTGCCAAAGAGGATCAATCCCAGACACAGGAAATCCAATGCCACCTGATCGATCGCGAGCAGCACAGCACGATCATGAAATCCGGCTCGAAATATCACGCTGTGATACATGTGCCGAAGATCCCTGTCCGATCCAAGAACATGAGCCAATCGTCCGAAGGAGAAGAAGGAAATCGGCAGCGCCAGGCCGTGCGCGATGGCGCCGAGCGATCCCAGCGCCATGAGCAAGTGGTTGCATCGATCGGCACAGAAGAAGAGCTTGTGGAGCGGCGCCAAGGATGAGGGCGCCCCATTGTTATAGAGCCCTAAAGATTTGGAGCCACTGGCATTTCCAGTTACACTTGTCATTTACATTTCTGCTACTCATTGCTATTTAGACGTATGGAACGATTAAAAAAGAAAGAGCGTTCTAGCTCAAGAAAAAGAAGAACGATCGAAGAATTCTCTAAAGCTTTTGGCGAATGGTTTTTAATAACTTTGATTTTTGAAAAAATATAAATTTTGCTTAATATATTATATTAATCAATTAATTTCTGAATCTATTAAGAAATCTAAAATTTTGCGAAAAGGGAAATTGATATGAAGTCAAATAAATACTCATCATACGGTTGTGAATATAAAGATAAACCACATTTTTCTTTAATGATTATATGCTAAAACAAAATTCAAGCCTTTAGTGGCTATTTTATCTTCATTTATCCCCCAAATTTTAAGGATCACAATATATCAAAATCTCATCCCTGCTTGAATATTCTAGGATATAATGGTTGTCATTCATTTAGATGAATCTTGTATTTATAATTTATAAACATGTATATAATTTATAAACTTGCTTAAACACTTTTTAGTATAATTTTTTTAGTATGGTTGATATGTAATAAAATTAATCTTGTGTTTATAAATTATAAATATGTTTATAATTATAAACTTGTATTTGATCAATTGGATTAATAAGTAGGAATAATACTATTATTAAGCAAACCAAGTGTTGCTACATGCAATGCATAACAATTTATTCTATACTTTAGAATGTTAAATAGAAATCATCCAAATTGTAGAGGTAATGGATTATTTTGGGATATTTTGCCATTTAAAGGTTATTATTCATTTAAATAAATCTTTTATTTATAATTTTAAAAATTTCTAAATAACTTTTAGTATATTCTAATTTATTTTATCTGATGGTTAATATGTGATAAGATTAGTTTTGTGTTTATAAATTATTAACATGTTTCAAATTATAAACTTCCAATTGATCAATTATATTAATAAATAATAAGCACTCTTCCAAAGAGGGGATAAGGAGGATATAGAAAACCAATGGAGTGAGTTTAACTTCCTATATATGGTATTAAATGAGAATAAAAATTGTAAATTCAAGTTAACATATGTCTCTCGAAAGTTAACTAAAAGGAAGATACAAATGTAAGTTTTGCTAATGGTTGTGAGTCTAGATTAACAATGATCTTGAAGGATGGATAGATATATCACTTATTACAATGGTGTTTTTTGGATCAAATGGTCTCGAAGGATGGATGGATATATCATTTCCTACAATGGTGTTTTTTGGATTAAAGTTTTTTATTTTAGTTCAAAATTATAGTTTCAAGGTTGATTTAAGCATTTAGTAGTTGTATATAAAGTTATAATTGGTTCATCAAAATTACATAGTTAACTTATGTTTGTGCCATGGCTTTGGGTTATGTTTATATCATAATTGTTAACAATTACATAAGTAGTTTTGTAGGAGTTTCAAGTTCTTGTGGCAATTTATAATCACTTTACTACAACTCTAAATGTTCCACTTAACACTTTTCATCTTACAAGGAAGAATGATGTAAAATGTATAAATATATATACAATAAATTAATCGTAGTATTATAGCATATGGATAATTTATTTGGGACTAAATTCTTGCATATATAAGTATAGGTCTAAACCTAAATTAATATACTTATCCCATAATTTTATGGTTTATCAATTATTAGATAGTAAAATAAACTAGGAACTGTTTGGGAAAGTTTATAAATTATAAACATATTTATAAAATAAATATAAAATTAATCTAAATGAATATTAACTATTAAATGGTAAAATATTCTAAAATATTTAAATATATCTTAAGTATATCCACTACCATTATTATACCTTATTAACCATAGGATGTGATACAAAATTGGCAATGGAACTTTGTGTTGGACTTAATTGTTTAGCCTTGTCTCAACTACATAAACTACTTGTCATATAAATGTGGTAATAAAGCCTTTGAGACCTGAGAAATTTAAAAATTCTAATATAAAGACTTCTGACACATATGTCATAGAAGGCCTTGTAGTCCAAAACCATGCACTTCTTGGCATTCTCGACAAGCTAGTGCACAGACAGCATTGCATTGTATGGCTCCACCACTGTGTCTGACACCTTCGGGGACGGGAACACGGCATCATCCTGTCTGGGTACTCCTCTTGAAGCTTTGATCTCTCTGGAAGGAGTGTGAAGGCACTGTTGCGATTCTAGTTTCTTAATCTACTTCTCTTCTTTGCAGTGAGCCAGTCTCTCCTTGAAGAACTCTCCGATATCAGAGTGACTTATCAGCAGGACACGAGCACACTCGGCTTAACAGCCGGGTGATCAGGGACTCCATCAGATGCAGGGCCTTCTCGCGGTCATAGTTGTTATCTAACATTCTGAGCTCGAGTGATAGACATCACGAATTTCACCACTATCATCAGTCTTCGAGGGTGTTGATGGTGTAGTTCTTCTTCCCGGTCCTGTAATATCCTGTGAAGTATTCGAATTCGATAAACTCCCGTGGGCTCGATCCCATGCTCGTCACATATCACTTCCGGCGCCAATCTGGTTGCCACACTGGCCTCCCTGTACGTGGACAATCTCTCTCATTTCTTTCCGTGCTCTTGGTTCTTCTTCTTCTGTTTGTCGATCCAGCTGAAGGGCCTGACGACACTGTGGTAGTTCATACCGTTAATGTGGAGGAAAACAACAATTTATGTAACGTGAGGTGATTTAAATCGAGCGAACCTTTATGACGATGACTGGAGCTTGATGAGCTGAGCGTAGGCTCCTCGCTTGGCTACGAGCTCCGAGTGCCTTCCCTGCTCCACAATCTCACCGTCATGCAGCACGGCAATCTGGTCGGCACTGCAAATCGTAGATAGCCTGTGCGCCACAACCACTGTCGTTCTCTCCTCCATCAGCCGCTCAAGAGCTTCCTGGACAGTTCTCTCAGACTCGGCGTCTAGAGCACTCGTGGCTTCGTCCAGCAATAGTATTGCAGGATTTTTGAGAACGGCTCGTGCAATTGCTACCCGCTGCTTCTGACCACCTGGAGATCAATGAATGATGTAGTGCTTCGTTTTAGAATCAGACAAAAGTTGTCGACGTACCTGAAAGTTGGACACCTCGCTCACCAACGTTTGTAGCGTATCCATCGGGAAGGCTGCTAATAAACTCGTGGGCGTTGGCTGCCTTTGCAGCAGCCACAATCTCGGCTTCCGAAGCACTCTCTTTTCCGTAGGCGATGTTCTCGCAAATGCTCGTTCCAAAAAGAGCTGGTTCTTGTTGCACTAGACCAACATGACGCCTGTACGCCTTGACGTTGAGCTTTTTGACATCTCTGCCGTCCACAAGAACCATCCCCTTGAAAGGATCATAGAACCTTTCCACCAATGCAATAACCGAGCTCTTCCCGGAGCCGCTGGGACCGACCAAAGCCAAACTCCGTCCAGCTCGAATCTTCAAGTTCAGGCCAGCAAAGATAGCTACCTCGGGTCTCGACGGATATGCAAAGTGAATGTCTCGGAGTTCTATATCACCCCGGAGTTTAATGAGCTTTCGTGACCTTGGACCGTCCAAATCTATTTCCGTTGCTCTGTCCAGCAGCTCAAACACTGATTTGAATGACTTTGCCGTCTTGGAAATGTCCGGAAGCATTGCTAGACTGTCTGCGATGGGAAATGCCGCCATGACGAGGACGAGAAAAGCTTGCAGAACGTTTGCGGGGCTTGATTTGCTTGCTTTGACGAGGACGGCACCGTACCAAAGGCCGAGACCATAGGACCCGAACAGAGACAGAGTCGAGAATCCATAGCCGAGTCCCACAATGCTTCCATGAAACAAGCTGCGTTTAGCCGGGGTCTGAAGCTCCAAAGTAACTAAGTTGACGAGTTTCTTTTCTGCGTTGAATGCTGCTATAGTTCGAATATTGCTCACAGCATCTCCGGCCAGCATGCTTGCCCGAGAATGAGATCTTTCCAGATCTCCAGCCAATCCTTGAAGGAACAATTTCTAAGGGAGAGCATTGTGTCAGTAAAGCAAACAATGTAAAAGGCCAGCTCACCTGCGCAAAGGTCGACAATACAATAAACGGAAAAGTTGCGGCCACGACAATTGCTACTCGCCACTCCACCAAAAAAGCTATGGCGAACGAAGCAACTATCACAGCGACGTTTTGAACCATTGAACCTAGTATATCTCCACTTGCAGATTTCATGTACACGGCATCAGAAGCCAAACGAGAGGCAAGCTGGCTGCTTGAATGCTCTTCTCGATCAAACCAGCTTATCTCATTGCGTAAAATACCTGCATCACAGAGGTTGTAAGACATGATACTGAACATAACTAAGGATGGTGCTTACCCGATAGCATCATTTTTCTTACGCGCATCGTCAAGTTTTCCCCAGCAATCCCAAATGAGTAGTACTGTACAAAAAGGGCAACAAATGCCCCCACAGCAACCATGACGAAGACCACGCTGTACTTTGCTGTGTGCCGTTTCATTTCTTCGAAGTCCTGATAGTAGTAGACGTCGAGAATTTTGGAGACGAGGAATGAGTATGCCGGATTAGGAAGGCCCGAACACACAGCTCCAATCGTACCAAGAACCAAGAACGGCAAATCTGGTAAGTTGATTGTCACGAACTTCTTCAGAACATCATCGGCCTCGACATTTTCCTCGTCTTCCCTTGAGGTAAAACTTAGACCGTTCAGTTTTGACAATCTGAAGCTGCCACCGGTGCTGGAATTTAGATCATCCACACTCGACAACCTACGAAAGCTGCTCGAGGAGCAATTAGAAAGCCTGCATGAAATAGTTCACTTAATAAGCTCAAAGTGAACTATGTGTACTTTACCTTGAGGTAGCTTCCGTTGTTCTGGCTTCCTCAAGCCGAACAAGTCCCGAATATACAGATTTTTCGTCGGCAATAAGCTGTTGGTGCGATCCGGTTTCCACAAGCCTTCCATTTTGAAGCACAGCAATGGAATCGGTGCCTTTGACAGTACACAACCTGTGTGCTATAATAACTGTCGTTCTTGCCACCATGATTTTGTCGAGTGCGTCTTGTACCACATTCTCGGACTCAGCATCTAAAGCACTAGTTGCCTCATCCAACAACAGTATCGCTGGATTTCTGACCAATGCTCTAGCTATGGCTATCCTCTGCTTTTGGCCTCCAGAAAGTTGTAAGCCTCTTGAACCAACCTGCAATGTACTTGAGCAGTTTAGACACTGAAAAACTAGTGTCTAGGCACCTGTGTTTCGTAGCCTTGAGGAAGCTGATTTATAAAATCGTGCGCATTTGAAGTCCTGGCAGCCAGCTTTATCTCCTCCATGTTCGCATCATCTTTGCCATAAAGTATGTTTTGCGCGATGGTGGTAGCGAACAAAGCTGGTTCTTGGTTAACGAGACCAATCTGTAACCGGAGCCATTTTAATTGTAGAGATTTGGTGTTGTAACCATCCAAGAGAATTTCTCCTGTAGAAGTATAAAACTCAGAAAAGAAATATAAACAAAGAAGCAATTCACCTGAAGTTGGGTCGTAAAACCTTTCAATGAGAGATATTATCGTGCTCTTCCCGGAGCCACTGGGGCCAACAATGCCTATCGATTTTCCAGGCGGTATCTTGAGGCTCAGGTCGTGAAGAATTCGAGCATCTGGCCTGGAGGGATAGTTGAAGGTAACTTTATTCAGCTCAAGCTCTCCACGGACGTGTTGAAGACAAAATTCGGTTGACTCTTCACTGTTACTGATCGTATTCTTGTCGTCTAAAGTTTCCAGAATTTTGAACGCAGCGGCTCTTGCTTTCGATATAGCAGCAATGGTCGGAGCAGTCTGTCCGAGAGCACTATGAGAAAAACGTTCAGCATCAGAACTCAAAACATAATCAATAACAGTAACTTACAAGGCACCTAAGAGCACGCAAAATATTGTAGATAGAGCTTTTCCACCGTTTGTCGTGCGGTTTCTTACGAGAATGCCACCGTACCACATCAGTAAGGCCCAGGAACACAAGGGCAATGCATACATTGCTCCCATTCCAATCCCTTTGACAAGTCCGGCTCTATATCCCAGACGTAGCGTAGAACCGAGCGCAGCGGTGTACAGACTGATCGTCTTTTGCTCGCCAACAAACGAATAGACTGTCCGAATTTGAGAAATTGCCTGCAAGTCAGTCTGGAGTAAGAAATTTAGTCTGGAAGTCTACGTACTTACTCCTTCAACGATGTTTCCCGCTTTGTCGTATTCCTTCTGGGTCTTCGATGAAACGCCAGTGATGACATGAGCGTAGAGACCTCCAGCTAGAATGACCACCGGTACGGTTGCCAGCGTCAAAAGTCCGAGCTGCCACACAGTTGCAAATCCCAATGCGATGCCTCCAAAAAACGTGGAAACGTGATGGATGAGGACTCCCATCTACGAAAGAGCAAAAGGGAGAGGGAAGAAACATCACATCTACAAACTATTGAATGAAAGCGATTAAAGTACTCACTTTCTCGCTTATAGCCTGCTGGATGAGCAAAGTGTTGGAGGAAATGCTGCTAACGAGCTCCCCAGTCCTCGCGTCGTCGCGATCGAAGAACGAGATATCGTGTCGCAGGATTGCCTCCAAGTAGCTGATCCTGATCTTCCTGCATTGCCGCTCTCCGGTCTGGATCCAGCACGCAACCTCTGCAACATGATCCAGAGCTAGGAATTCCTCCCATTGTTTCAAGAACAAAATCCCTCTACCTAGCCAAGACGCGCCAAAGAGGATCAATCCCAGATACAAGAAATCCAATGCCACCTGATCGATCGCGAGCACGATCACGAGAGATCACAACGAAATATCCATACCTTGGACACGCTGTGATACATGTGCCGAAGATCCTTGTCCGATCCAAGAACATGAGCCAATCGTCCGAAGGAGAAGAAGAAAATCGGCAGCGCCAGGCCGTGCGCGATGGCGCCGAGCGATCCCAGCGCCATGAGCAAGTGGTCGCATCGATCGGCAAAGAAGAAGAGCTTGTGGAGCGGCGCCAAGGATGAGAGTGTTCCATCGCTATTGAGCCCTAAACATTTGGAGCCACTGGCGTTGGCATTTCCACTTACATTCGTTCTAGTCATTACAAGAGCGTTCTAGCTCAAAGAAGAAGAACGATCGAGTAAGAGAGAGAGAGAACTCTCTTTCCAGTGAGGTGAAAACTAGAAAACAAAGAAATCTCTAAGCTTTTGCAAATCTGATTCTTCCAGCCAAGCTACACACAAAAAAAAAAGTGAAGATCACAGCTAAGTAGCGAGATCCCTCGCTAGTGTTTTTTTTCTTCTTCTCTTTCTTTGCGAGATTTGTCGGTTGTCTGCCCAGGATCCAGCATCTTCGACATGTGACGAGACTCGTTCATCGAACATGAGATTTTCAAAGCTCTTGACTTGGTATCAAAGAAACCAAAGAAAAACCAAGAACTTTGTCCGAGAAGTTGACAAAAAAATGGTTTTTTTTTTTTTGTGTGTGTTCTTCATCAGCTAGCTCGGAGGACTGTGCTGCTGCTGCAATTTTATAAGATGCGAGTAAGCACCATCGGCTTTCGCGACAAGCTCCCAGTGACTTCCCTGCTCCACGATGGTTCCATCCTGGATCACCGCGATCTTGTCCGCGTTTCGTATCGTGGACAAGCGATGAGCAACCACGATTGTCGTCCGGCCTCTCATCAACCTGTCCAGCGCCTCCTGGACGATGTGCTCCGACTCGGCATCCAGCGCGCTGGTGGCCTCGTCCAGCAGGAGGATCGTCGGGTTCTTGAGCACTGCTCGAGCGATCGCCACCCTTTGCTTCTGTCCACCCGAGAGCTGCGCTCCTCGCTCGCCGACGCTGGTTTTGTAGCCATCCGGCAGCGCGCTGATGAAGTTGTGAGCGTTTGCTGCTGTTGCTGCCTCGATGATCTCGCTCTCCGTCGCGTCTTCCTTGCCGTAGCGGATGTTTTCCTGGATCGACGTCGCAAAGAGAGCCGGTTCTTGCTGGACGAGGCCGACGAAGCGCCTGTATGATCGTAAGTTGAGGAGCCTGATGTCCTTGCCATCCACCAAAACTTTCCCTGCCACTGGATCGTAGAACCTCTCGACTAGTGAGATGACCGAGCTCTTCCCGGACCCGCTAGCTCCAACTATCGCCAGGCTCTGGCCGATGTGAACCTTCAAGTTTAAGTTCTTGAAGATGGTAACTTCCGGCCTTGTTGGATAGTAAAAGTCCACGCTTCTAAGCTCGATCTCTCCCTTCATGTTCTTGACAGTCTCGGCACTGGGATCGTCCGGGTTAATCTCTGTTTTTCTGTCCAGAATCGCAAACACCGACTTGAGAGCCTGGCCACCTTTCACAATGTCTGGACTTAAGCCGAGTGACTCCCCTATACCGTTGGAGGTGATAACCAGCACGAGGAAGGCTTTGATGGCGTTGCCAAAGCTTGCTTTGCCATCTCGGACGACCAAACCGGCGTACCAGAGCCCGAGACCGAACGAGGCGAACAGGAAGAAGGAGCCGACACCATAGCCAATTCCCGCTATCTGTCCTCGAACGAAGCTACTCCTCTTCGGGACTTCGAGTTCGTCAGTAACTAGCTCGACCATCTTGGCCTCGGCGTTGAATGCTGCCACCGTTCGTATGTTGCTCACGGCCTCGCCGGTTAGCTTGGTAGCTCGCTCGTGAGCCTTTTCAATGTTCCCGGCAAAGCCTTTGAGGAACATTTGCTGGATAGTACACAAAATTCAAGTTTAAAGAGCAGCGAAAGATGAAGCATCACGTAAACCACGTACCTCCGAGATGCCCGAGGCGACGAGTAGAGGCAGCGAAGCGGTGACGACAAGTGCTATCCTCCATTCCACAATGAACGCTATAAGGAAAGCTGATACCAAGAGTGACGAGTTTTGGAGGATAATAGCAACTCTATCTCCCATGGTGGCTCTAACAAAACCCGCATTGGTCGATAGCTTGGAGGCAATCTGACTGCTGCCGTTCTCGTCACGATCGAACCAGCTCACCTCAAATCTTGTGACGGCTATAAGACGAAACAAAGAAAAACAAAACGTAAGAAAATCTGTGGATAAGTGAGAAAACTATAGTACCTGTGAACATGAGTTCTCGGATACGCTTTGTAAGGCTCTCTCCAGTTACTCCAAACGAGTAGTGCAAGAGGGAGTGTATCATCCCCACACTGACGCCTATGCAGACGAAGATGATGGAGTATTTTTGCACTTCGGACTTCATGTAGCTCTTGTCCGGATTGTAATAGATGCTTAAGACGCTGCTGATGATCATCGCAAACACTGGATTTACGAGCCCCGCCACAACCGCAGCTGCGCTTCCGAGAAGAAGAAATGGCCATTCTGCTGCGTTGAGCTTCAGGAGTCTAAAGAAGTAGGAGCCTTTTTTCTCCTGCGCTTCAAGCTCAACACCTTCGACCAGTCCGTCTGACTTTGTGCTTGACTGCCGGCTTATGAAGCTCCTGACTCTTGAAAAACTTATCAGGCCGCTATGCTCTGCACTGCTTCTTCTCATCGAGGTCGATCCAGCTTGAGACTTGAGAGATTGCCTGCAAGAACAGAGAGCAAAGTATAGTAAGTTAAAAATCCAACATTTCTCAAACCTTTCGTCTCGAGCAACTTCTCTGGCCATGTTTTGGAGGTGTACTAACGTCGCGTATGCTCCCCCGTCACCTCTAGAGGACAGCTCGTCATGAGTCCCAAGCTCCACAATCTTTCCTTCTTGGACGACGGCGATGGTGTCGGCGTTTTGAATCGTGGAGAGACGATGCGCGATGATCACGGTCGTGTGTCCGTGCATGAGCTTGTCCAGAGCATCCTGGACAACATGCTCGGACTCTGCGTCCAAAGCACTGGTTGCTTCGTCGAAGAGAAGAATGGAGGGATTCTTCAAGATGGCTCTCGCGATTGCTATACGTTGTTTCTGACCGCCCGAGAGCTGGACACCTCTCTCTCCAGCCTGGAAGATCGAAGCAATGAAAAGAAGTATTTCTCCCTGCGAACTAATTCACAGCATACCTGAGTCTCATATCCGTGTGGAAGTTGTGAGATAAAGCTGTGAGCGTTTGCTGCTTTTGCGGCGTCCTCGATCTCTTCCCTGGTTGCTGATGGTTTACCGTAAAGGATATTGTTTCGTATAGTCGTGGCAAACAAAGCAGGCTCCTGATTCACAAGCCCGATTTGAGATCTTAGCCATTTAAGATCCAAAGTTCTGATGTCGTGACCATCAACAAGAATTCTCCCTGATAAAAGAAAGTCAGATTAGTGGGTATGTAATCATAAGACTGAACTGAAATATTACCAGAGGTTGGATCATAAAAGCGCTCTATAAGCGACACAACCGTGCTTTTCCCTGAGCCACTACCGCCAACGATCGCAACACATTTTGCTGCCGGGATCGATAAAGAAAAGCCTTCAAAGACTTTTATATCCGGTCGTGAAGGATAGCTAAAGTGCACGTCCTGGAGGTCGACATGTCCTTCAACTATGGATAGTGTTTCGCCTTTCGAGCTGGTGTTGATAGTTGGCTTGTGATTGATCGCCTTTAAGATTGTCTGCGTCGCTGCTCTCGCTTTAGCGAGAGCACCAATACTCGGAGAGGCCTGTCCCAAGGAACTGCAAGGAAAAAAACACGAAAAGAAAACACTCTCTTAAGTTTCACAGGAGCGATAAGTATTAAGCATGATACTTACATACCACCGATAAGAACGGCGAAAATCGTCGACAAAACCGAGCCTCCGGTGGCATCTCCCTTCCTGACGAGGACTCCACCGTACCACAGGAGCAAGGCCCATGCACAGAACATGGTTCCATACAGTCCTCCAACTCCAAAGCCTTTGGCAGCTCCACCTTTGTATCCCAGCTTCAATGATTTCTTGAGAGCATTTGTATAAGCAGCGAGGGCCTTCGTTTCACCGACAAAGGAGTAAACTGTACGTATTTGAGCGGTCATCTGGAAAGAAGAAAAGAATAAACTTTAACTCTCATACGTCAACTCTACAAGCTAAAGTCTACGAAAGAAACACAAAAATACCTCTTCTACAATGTTTCCTGGCTCAGTATCAGCCTGGCCTTTTGACGCAATCCCTGTGATAGCTTTGGTATAGAATCCCCCTACTACAGCAATCACGGGAAGAATGGCCAAAGTTACAAGGCCGAGCTGCCAAACGGTAGCAAAACCGACAACGAATCCTCCAATAAATGTACTGACAAAGTGTAGGAATCCTCCCATCTACACGAACAGTCTTAGCTAGCGGAAGAAACCAAGAAGACAAACTCACCTTCTCACCAATTGCCTCTTGAATTGTTAACATGTTGCCCGAAAGATTGTCAACGATATCACCTGTTCGAGCCTCGAGATCGAAGTAAGAGATGTCTTGCTTGAGCATGGCTTCCAGGTAGACGATCCTCATTCTGGAGACTTGACGCTCACCAGCTTGCATCCAAAGCGCTACCTCTGCAGTCAAGAAAAGCTTTTAGCTCCCCAAGATCGCAAAAAGCCATATAGATTACAAACCAGCCCAGGAGGCAAACAAGATAGCGATTCCCAGATACACGAAGTACAAAGAGTACTGGAAGAAGAACAGAGCTGTTTCAAGCAAGAGAGAAAGACTCAAAGAAGTACCTTTGATACTTGGCGATACATTTCTTGTGGATCGCTGGCCAGACTTCCAAAACTGTTGAGCAGCTTCCCGAAGAGGAGGAGGAAGATTGGCAGGGCAAGTCCGTGAGCCACAGCTCCGATAGTTCCCCCAAACATGAAAGCACAGTCGACACCATCGGCAAACGCGAAGATCTTGTGCAAGGGGATGCTGGCCTGCTTCTCCTCCTCCATTTTCTTCTCGGAGGAGATGGAGTTGTCCTCCATCGTCCTGTCGAGCCTCTCCAATTTCTTGTCAAAAGCGGTCTTCTCGGATGCTACTTCTTTCCTGGAGTTGCCGCTAACTTCAATACCTTCCATGCTCTCCTAAAAGTGAGGAGAATCAGCCCTGATTGGAAGAGTTTTAAGTCAAACACACTTGGCTTGGCTCTCACGGAAACAAAGTCTTGATAACCTACACAAGCTTGGTAAGAATTTCCACAGCGTTTACACGGAAGAGAATCCTTACTTGAGATGCGATCCAAATTGAATAGCTCTGCGAGGAAGAATCAAAAGCAATGCATCGATCGCGAGCGGCACTGCGCGACAAAGCCAAATCAAATACGAATGGAACAATAACAATCGGTCCACTGGAGATTAAAAAATCACGCTCCACAGTGGCGCGATTTGGAAGCATTCTTGTCATTGCGCCTCCTTCTAGAAATCCCCTTGTAAACCCTAAATCTGGGGGGTTAGTACACGTGGCAGATTCTAAGCAGTCCACGTGGCAGTTTATGGGCAGTCAGCGTGGCACAATGTCGAACGTTCTGGCAGCGATTTCCAGGTTAGCGTGGGAGCTGTCGTTCGTCAAAAGCTGGCACACGCAGAGAGAGAGGGATCGAGGAGCTAGGGTTTTGGATGGGCAATGGAAGAGGAGGCAGTGACCGAGGAGGAGGCGGTCGCTCTCAAGCGATTCAAGGGCGTGATCCTGGCGCGGGGCTATCACTACCCGCAGCGCGGCGACGATCACACGCTCCTGCGCTTCCTCCGCGCCAGGGCGCTCGACATCCGCAAGGCCGCCCAGATCTACGGGGACTACGTCAAGTGGCGCCGCGATAATCACATCGATTCCTTGCTCCAAGTGCGATCCAATCGATCGAGTCTTCCTTCCATGCATCGATTCATGCGCTGTGTGTTTTGTGACCTTCCAGACATTCGCATTCCCGGAGCTGGATGCTGTCTTGGCAGCTTGGCCGCAAAACTGGCACAAGACTGATAGATTTGGCCGACCGATCAACATCCAGCTAATCTCGAGGTACTTGAAAGAGTTTCTACTTTTGAGAGAGAAAAAAGAAAGAGAAGAGATGATCAATCACCATAGCTAAGATCTTTCTCTTCTTCTAGATTGAGAATCCAGGAGGTGTTCCACGCTACCACCGAGGAGAGACTTTTGAAGAGAGCTCTTTGGGTGTGGGAAGAGCTCCACGAAGTGAAGCTACCGGCGTGTTCTAAAGCCGCTGGCCACCAAGTTGGCCGCGCTACAATCATCGTGGATCTCAAAGATATCGTAAGCACACACATTGGTTATATATGATCGATCGATTGATACCTTTGCTTGCTGTGACACAGCCTTTGGGAACTCTCACCAATGCTCATGGACGCCGGGTGCTGATCAAGATGGCTCAAATCTTCTCGCGCTACTATCCCGAGTACCTCGGCCGACTCATCATCGTCAATGCTCCGGCCGCTTTCAAGGTGCTGTGGGAGATCCTCTTGCCTTTCATCGATGCTCCAACGCAAAAGAGAATTGGGATCCACAGGGGGAACGGGCTGGCCGATTTGCTCAGCGTGGTCGCGCCAGAGAACCTCCCTTGCTTTCTCGGTGGCTCTTGCAAGTGTCCCCAAGGCTGCGAGAACTCTTTAACCGGACCATGGAGCGACAAAGTTGACGCTCAACAGCGAATGTAAACAACGAGATGAAAAGATTTTTTTGAGAAATCCGAGTTGCAAAGAAACTCACAGCAGGGCTTTCGCAATCATCCAGCCTCGGAGCTTCACACCGCTCGTCTCGTCCTGTACGTTTAGTAGCGGCTGGAAGAACTCCAAATGTAACAACGCAAACCTTTGCTGTGATCAAAGTAGCTCGTTGATGGGATTGACGGTGAGAAAGCCCGACATCATCTTGCCGCTCGTCATGCGCAGGCCATCGATGATACAGCTCCAAGTCGAGCCCAACGCGCCAATGAAAAAGTCCGACTCGGCTGCCATGAGCAAGTTTACGAAGGCGTTGTCAAAGTTACGTCTCTTGCCCAGTTGAGCCATGTACGCGGCCATGCTTGTGCTCCCGGACTGCCTTGTGATGTTGGTGAAGTAGAAGTTCCAGTCCGTGTAGCTCCGGCTTTCCTCCACAACGTTCTGTCCAGCACAAACACTACACTTACTGCATCAAACTATATGAATGTAAATTACCTCCATTTCTGTGGAGAGCCATATGCCTCGGACGTGAGGAAACGCCCGCTTCAGATGCTCTGCGAGTTTCATGTACTCCGGAAACGCAAATACTCGCATTTCCGAGCCTTTGTCTCCTTGTCTAACGTGCATGCTTACAAGAGGCCGCGGAATCCATGGTCCCAGACTACTCCACACCAGCTTTTCTATGGGTGTCCGCTCCGGCTGAGCGTACTGTACCTATATAGTAGAAAACGTTACGACACGCGGTACTTGGCACACAAAACAAACCTCTGGCCATTCTCGTGGAATTAAATCCAAAGCTATCTGGGCGGCTTTAACTCCAAATGCATCGTGGCGAGCACGGTTGAGTAAATTACACAAGTTTTCGCTTGGAGACCGCATCAAGTATCGGAGAGCCTTCAGAGAAAACAAAAAAAAAAAAAAAGGACAGAAGATCAAGCCACGAAAACGACGTACAAAAAATGATCAATAAATACCTGAGTCCTCCACCATCTTCGGTCTTGTGCTTTGTAGCCCGACAAAAGACTACCATCGAGTTCGACTGTCCGTTGTATCGATTCCCATGGTCTGCCCCAGGTGCTTCAAAAACGCAATAGGAAAATCAAAACGGGCTTTGAAAGACGAAAACAAAGATAGGTGAGAACACTCACGTTGGAACCGGCACTTCCTTCCAAACGATAAATGGGGGATAGTTCTTGGTGCTCGTAAGTATTCCTTCTCGCCACGCAGACTTTAGCGTGGAAAGTTTTAATGCACGATCTATGCATTCGTTTGAAGCTTCTGCTGCAAAGTAGCACGACCACCGCGAATGGCTTGACCCTGCCCAGATAGCAGTTCTTTACATGACACAAGGCACAGTATACGTACCAGTACATCCGCTGTGATTGGCTCCGTGGTAGTCTTTCGTTACTAAAACTCTTCCTTCTCGCAAGGCAACTGCCAGAAGTCCAGTCATTGCCACGAGCTCCGCACCAACACCAATTGAGCTCCTAGTCTTCTGGCTTTCCCAGTCTGCGAGGAGGAACTTTGCGCTGCTGCAATTTCGCGGATGTTGATTGAGCCATATGTCGCGTTGTGCTCGTCGAGTTAAAGGAAGATTGTCCTCGTCACCACCTTGAATCTTCGAGATAGAGATCGACCTTTAGCTGGCTCCCAATCAAGAAAAAGTATAAGTAAGCTCTACTAACCCAAGGCGGGTACGGTCCTTGTAATCTGGCTTTGGTCGAGAGCATTTCTTCTCCATCGTCTTCAACAGATAAGCCCCCTCCCAGCTCTAGACCGAGCGCACCTTTCCAAAGTGTCCACAGGGGTCGCTTTCCATCGTGTTGGCGAGAGTCCAGCCTGGTGAAGTCTTCGCTACTTTTCTTACAGTCCTGAAAGTGAGGCGCTCTTGGTATATCCGATCCCGCGGCTCTAGCACCTTGATCCAAAGTCTTGCTCCAAAGATCTAGCAGAATTCTCACTCGATTGTCGTCGCTATGGATTTCACTGGTAGCATTATCTGTTCCTGATCAAATGCAGAAACAAGTCAGTACCAGCTCGAGTAAAGGTAATTCAGCACAGAAATACCAGCATAGATGACGGGAGCCAGAAATCCATAAGGAGCATACTTGTTCACGTTGTCAAACAAAATGATCATACACAGTAAGGTGATGATCATAAAGCACCAAGGACCTTGAAGCTCAACCGGCGGCCGCCTGGAAACCATCCCCGGAGACCTTGTAATGAGATTGAAAAAGTGATGCATCGATGAAGCCCTCCAAAGGGTTGAACCACTTCATGCTGCTCGAAGTGAATCAGTCGTCGATCAAGCACCAGAATGCACGTAAAAGAAGACAACAGAAAGAAAACGCACAAGCTTCCTCAAATCTTGCCAAAATCTACGTTGCTTAAAACGTAAGAAGTCCCAGCAGCATAAAGAACGGTCACGAGCAAACACATGGAACGTTGTTAGACCTCAGGCTCCAAAAAGTTACGTACCAGCCGTTTAATGCATGTTGTTGCAGCTCGCGACCTCTCCAAGCGAAACCTGTAAAACTTCCCAAGCAGACAAAAGAAATAAACAAATCGGGAAGTGCTACAAAACAAAACGCAAGCACTGAACGTACCAAGGAGGTTTTGTGTCTCTAGGACTCTCCATCCCAAATCTGTCATAGCGCTCGCACCGACCTGGATAAGACCATTCGTGGCGTTGGTGTTTGGACGCATTTAGTTGTGGCAGTCAACAGATGTCGTCTGAAGAAAACTCCAAGTTGCTGATATTCTATTTGAAATTGCGAGTGAAGTCTCACTCGATCCTCGTCAGTCATGTTTTCAGCAGCTGCTTGCTTGAACTACACAAAACAGGAAACAAAAAAAAACTCAAAAGTAAACAAAGAAACGCGTTGATGTCTGGTGATTGAAATGAGCGCTACGTACCCACAATAAGGAGTACCAAAGATTCCCAGCTTTTCTGCTTTCTATGGAAATCAGATCGCGGAGGAAAGAAAAACTCGCACAAATCGAATCCATTTCATTGTCAAAGAAAAACCGGTAAGAACTGACAAAGAAAGTGCTGTGGAACAATTACGTACCATAAGCCTTCAATGCATCGCCGGTGAGGCGACAAATCCTCCACTCGGGCAGCACGAGGGCCCCCATTTCCTGGTAAAACTTGATAGCATTCTCGTTCCAATCCAAAACGCACCACTCCACTCGGCCAAGCCCGCGGTTGGCAGCTTCCTTGGCAACTGTCCGGAGAAGAATTCTTCCAAGTCCTTGCCTTCTATACGGCTCCCTGACGAACAAGTCCTCGATGTAGAGACCCGGCTTGGCCAGGAAAGTGGAGTAATTCGGGAAGAACAGCACGAAGCCAGCCACGATCCTGCCGCTGTCGCTGGTGAAGAAATCCTTGTCTGGATCGGCTATTTCGGCGCCGATCTCCACTTCTGGAACAAAATTTCGATTGAATGCCTGAGGATATTTCGGCCAAAACCACGCACCTTGAGAAGCCAGACAGTCTCCAGCAGCAGCATTGCTAGCGCTGGATCGCGAAATCTCAAGCAGCAGCACAGTGAGGCCCTGGAACGCCGGCGCGTTGAAGAGCGTCGACCGGTACTGCTCCTCGGTGCCAATGCAGGCGTCGGCCAGGCGCTCAAACTTCGCGAGCTGCGCGATCATGGACGCAATGTAGGGCACGTCCCGGGGCGACGCGATGCG